CATCGCGAAGCAAGATCGAAAAGTGCTCGGCGGTCGGTAACAGAGCAGTGAGCTGCAAGACCTATATGTACTGTCAGCCAGAGTCTCAGATGATGCTTGAAGAGTACGCACAATTCGCATACCATGCCAAGTAGCTAATGACAGCGCGAATACGCCCGCACGAGAATTGAGTCTGCAGACAAGAGCTCATCAGTCACTCGGAGCCACGACGCCTTACACAATGTGACTTACCGCTCGACACGACGAATGGTATACAAAGGGAGAGTACAGCGACACGACTTGCGGTCGAGCGAGATGAAGCATAGGAATGGCGGTAATAGAGACAGTCTCCCAGCCTATGCCGGAACCTTCATCAGCATCACAACATGAAGCCAAGCACAGCGAGGCTATGCTACACCTCGGACTCACATAGACCTCTTCCTTTCCCTCCACGCTCAGCACCGCATTGATCTCCATACCCTGCCCCAGCCTTTCTTCATTGGCATTATTGTTGCGTATCTTGACCACGGCGGGGGGTTGGTCCGGGGCTGGGAGGTGTTCTTGAAGGGGTACATTGAAGAAGTCGCGGGTGACCTCGTCCTTGGACTTGTCCCGGTACGACCGGAGGTGCATCGGGAGCGACATGGCGGGACACGGTGGGGGCGATGGCGGCGAGCGGGGCGGGGTCGTCGGTGAAGGGGGCTGGAGTGGGGTCGAGCAAGGCAAGAGCAAGGATACGCGCGCTGCGAGCGACGCCGAGCGGCATCTTCCTGTGTCACCACTTTTTCATCTTCTCTATCTTTTCCAACGGCATGTCGTTCATGGCTTATACCTGACCTCCATGCTACATTTGATCAAGTTTAATCAATGCATATACGGCTATGATGCATGCTTTCCAAGCCTTGGGGCAGCAATACATGTCTACCTCTCAAACCACCCATTCGTCGCTTTGGGCGCCGTCCTCATACCGGCCATCCTTTCCAGATAAGAATTCCATAAACCATCAACAAACTCTTCGTCCGTCTACATGGCTTTTCGTCAGTTTCCAGTACAACTATCATGTGTTGACTTACCATCATCAGATCGACAAGTCTCCTCTTGAACTCTAGCTTTCTCTGTTCGGCACTCAACTCTACACCCCAGATCCTTACATTCTCCTCTTGCTCCTTCTTCACAATAACGTCCGTCACCGCTTCCGCCATGACGGCCTTTCCTTCAGCGTTGGGCTTGTACCCGCTCAGCTGAGTAGGTCGAGGGGGGAGGGGAGAGACGGTGCGTTGGCCATTGTTGTGAGTGAACGGTTGAGAAGGGTAGCCGGTGTGGGTGGCATTGTATTGAGACTGATTGTACTGGGGCAGGTTGGAAGGGGATCCTGGGATGCCCGAAGATTCGGACACTCCAGAGAAAGAAGCAGCAGTAGCGGCCTGAGCAAAGGTCGCGTCTCCAATCTTGGACGACTTGCGTACATACGGCTCAGTAGCTATCTGAGGTTGCTGCCCTTGAGGAGACACGTAGCCATGCTGTCCGGCGTAGTTCTGTGGTCGCTGGAAAGCATTTGCAGGGGAAGCTGCTGCTTGTGGCACCGGATGACTAGGCTGGGGCGTATATTGGCGATGGGGCTGCACCGAAGCCGGGGCAGGCGGTGAAACCCTCTGTGCCACAGAGGCCGGTACAGACTGTGGAGGTAGGGGAACAGTGCCCAAGATACTAGCCAGCAAGTCGTCGGCTGTCTCCAACTTGTTCTCACTCGTTGGCGCGGGTGCCGTCGAGTCAGGGAGAGGGGGAGCCGTTGGCATCGTGACAGAGACGGATGCTTGTATCTGCGTCGGTGGCGGGACCTGGTACTGTGCCTGAGGCTGAGGTTGATATTGAGGATGGGACGAAATGGGAGGGGCAGGTACGGGGCTGGGCCTGTGTGATGGCAGGGGAGGGGCCGGTCGCTCCTCCCTTGGTGTAGGCCCCTGCGAAACACTTTGAGGAGCGGGCGCCCCACCCGAGAATGCAGCATTCCCGTTGATAGGCGGCTATTCAAATATCAGTTCAGACTCTACCTGATCAGATTGGACATACAAGTAGGCCGGCAAAGAGCTTGCTAAGACCATCTTCTTGCGTTGACTGCGATGGCTGCTGGGCAAAAGATTGCGAGGGGGCATTCGGAGCGACTTGCGGCGAAGCCACAGCGGGAGTCTTCTTGGACGGTTGACCAACGATCCTATGCACATGTCAATCCTGAGCCTAGAAAGCAGAGTTGTTTAAACTTACGCGAGGATGGCGGCTCGGAACGTTTCAACTTGCTCATGTCCCTCACTGAACCAGATTCCGATTCTCGTCTCTACATGGATGTGTTAGCAGTGGGGCACGCTGTCGGCGTGGTCGATACACGCACTCTCTCCACGACGGGCAACTTGCAGCATTCCGTCGTCAATAACCGTCATCTTCATCTCTCCGGGGAGTAATGGGATAGCGGGATTTTTGACTGTTTGTCGGTTGAGCATATACAATTGATACTCCGGCGTCTTATCCCTGCAGTCATAGCGTCAGTATACCTCTGAGCTAAGGACACAAGTACACACCTGCGGACGACAAAAAGCGGTCCCTCCATCTTCTGCTTCTCCCATCTCTCGCTCCTCTCATCGTAGTGGTATACGACACTGTATACACTGGTCTCTAAAATTGCTGATATGGATGGGTCGGCACGCTTGACGGATCGAAAATTCGTGGCGTTGCGGAATTCGATGAGTCGTTCCTCATCTGTAGACATCTTGATTGTTTTCTGCCTGGCTTGGAGCGGAAGCGGAGTCGGGGTCGGGAGTTAGGCCAGAATAAATGGCGGCCTTGTAGCAAGAACAGTGGGATGCGGCGTGGGAGGCGTATGGGACACGGGGAGATATAGGGATTGGAAATGAGAAAGGAAGATGGAAGAAAGAGAAAATGGGATTACCCGCGGCGACAATAGATGACGAAGGGCGCTGTCGAGGTGCCCACTATGTCCATCTCTAATCACCATGAAGTCAGCTTTTACCCCCAGGCATCTTCAGGACATCTCGTCCCGCCTCATTCCCATCTCGCGCACCCCGCCCCTCTCCCGCCTGCCGCCCCATACAGCCACATACGACCGGGGACGAGAACCAAAGGAATCAGGGGTGCTCATCCCTCTCATGAACATCAAGGGCTGCCCGCATGTATTGATGCAGGTCAGAGCACATGGTATGAGAGTGCATGCAGGTGAAGCTAGGTGAGTGGTCTAGCTGAAAACGTTTGCATGGATGAATGACTTTACTCTTGTCTAGCTTTCCGGGAGGTAAAGCCGACCCGGTAAGGCTACTTCTCCCTGCATTTGGCATATCTGACCTATACCCCGTCTAACCATGCAGACCGACAGAGATCTGATGCATACAGCAACGAGAGAGACTGAAGAAGAGTTGGCCATACCGCCGTCTCACGTTCAGTTACTCGGCGGACTAGAGCCAGAGTATAGCTTGGGTAACAAGTCTCGCGTGTGGCCTTTCGTGGTAAGTCGACCTTCCAATAGATGACTGTAGCTGACAGCTATAAGGGTTTCGTGCACTCCACGCCGGATCCCTGGCCCAATGATCCCAACTCTAGCCTTCCCTCGCAACCCTTCTCTTCCCTTGTCCCTTCTCCAGATGAAGTATCCGCCTTACTTCCCCTCCCCTTGGCCATTCTCACGGATCCAGCCCGTCTCTCGACCCACAACTTTCGTCTGAACTGGTACAAGCCTTACCACAAGATACGAGTGGAGGACCTGGTCATCCCACCAGCGCCCGGGGCAAGCCTGGATGTGGAAGGGCTTGAAGTTTGGGGGTTGAGTGGGTGGTTTCTGAACAAGCTGTGCGAGAAACTGGGGTGGTTGGAGCCACCAGAAGTAGAGGCGTCTCCGGAGGATTGACCGACAAAGTATGTTCCGGGCTATCCGCATCGTGGCATCGTGGCATCGTTATTGTATGTACTTGTATTGTCTACCATTGATTGATGTGACTCAAATTCGGGGGCGGCTGATATGAGAGAAGAAAACTGAAGCGTAGCCGGCGCAACAGAGCTCGACAATGGGCACAACACGGTGGATTACGAGATCCTATATAGTACAGGAAGGGTGCTAGAATCTCCCCTCGACGGCTTGTATACGGGATTGAACAATGGCTGAGCTGCCCGTGGCTGTATGCTCCTCTAGGTGGACATTAGCTCAGCCCCACTATATGACAAAAAGTACTTGCAAGATACGCATCTCGGATCTGGGAGGCTTCGGTCGGACGACTGTCCGTCTCTGAAGGTGTGCTGATCTGATCAGTCTGGCCCGTTTATCAGCCTCAGCTCGACTTTGATCAACACAGCTGACAGACCTCGGATAGAACCGCGCTCCACCTACTGGATCCTGCCCTGACAGTCGCCTCGTCATCCTCCCAGACTCTCGCATCTTCTCCGTCCTCCGAAAAATCCAACCAGGATTCATCCAACCCCTTGCCGGGCTCCTTCTCCCTCTCGTAAGGAGTGGGAGGACGCCGTGGGCGTGTGCAGCTTTGGCTGAAAGGATGGGGCGAAGGCACCGGGGAGAAGCCTGGTGACGCCAACGACAAGCTTTCACTCATTCGGTGCTCCAAGAGTGAGCTTGGGGCTGGGCTCGCCGTCGAGTACGCTAAACTGGTGGTCGACTCGCTGTCATCCTCCTCGGTCAAGCTCCCTGCTGACTCTCTGAATTTTCTGTGGTTGAAGCCTCTTTCCCATTCACGCCCCCACCCTCCAATGGCCAAGGGGTTCATCAACGTCGGCGGGCGATCGCGCGTGCTGGCTATTATGGAGCCGATAGAAGAGCTCAGTGAGGACCGAGACTCTGTGGGGGAACGAGACTTTGCTTTCTTGGCGGACGGCGGAGTAGGTGGTAGATGAATGGGCTTCGGAGGGGTCGTGAGCCTACTGTTCGAAGAGTCGTCTTCAATGGGCAGCTCTTTCAAAGGTCTCTGCTGAAGGAAGACCATCTTTTCCTCTCTCTCGAACCAATCTCCCAACAGATCGGAGCAATCCTCCGGTGTGTCAGGCACCCCAAAGTGCCAGCTCGACAAGGGAGAGATCATCAGACTCGCGCGCGAAGAATTTGAGAGCGCAAATGGGTGGGACGGGCATGACGGACTTCTAGAATGCTGTGTGTCCAAGGAGGCCGTCGGCAGGCGGGGCAAGGGTTTGGAGGTGCACGCTCCTTGAGCTGTCGGCCGTCAGCTATGTGCTACATGTGTGCGGCCTCACGCATACCTGGCTCCTCTGATCCTCTTGGCTGATCCGACTCAAAGCCGCCATACACTGTGAAGGCATGCTTGCGCATTGCTTCCCGTCTGCGCTGACTATCGCCGCCTGGACGTGCAGATCGCAATTGCAATGGCGGAAACCGATTTCTATTGGGGGACACTGATACGTGTAGCGCCTGTGAAGGGCCTTGGGACCGGGTAGTGACTGGCTGTTGAAGGGAGATCACCATGGCTGAGGATGAACTTCTAAATGAACAAGTCGAGTTCGAACAATGGAAAGGGGCGGATTGAGAAGAGATGCAAAGGGATGCGACCATGGGAAACAAGGGCGACTTCTACAGGTACGCATCATGCATATATGGCTAAAAAGTGGCGCTTCGGAGGAGTCGGGGGCAGTGAGAGTGGGTGGCTGGGCGTTAGCTGTGCCGTGCCAGGTCGCTGCGTCCCCGCAGATGTGCGCTGCCCTTGTGGCAGGTGATGCTTGGACCCCTGCCGTTACAACAGCATACGCCTAGAGACAGCCACTGTCCACTGTACATGTCTTCCAGGTGTTGGCGTGCCACCTCAAACAGCTAGTGTGCCACTTACATACTTTCGACGCACACCGCCTCCTCAAGATCGGCCCTCATACCGGAAAAGTAGCGCCGCACGAGAGCGGAAGAAGAAAAGGGAAGGGCAGGGTGTCTGTATGGGGCTTGTGTGGTGTGTGTCCCGGAAACTCCTGAGAGACTCAATGCGCAGATACTTTACGTGACGCGACGCGGCGACTGACTCGTTTCAGTATTTTGTCATGGCATGAAGCAGCGTTACGCGCCACTCCGAGGTCTCGGTTCATAGCTAGTGTGTACCTGTCGGGATAACATCTGTCAGTTTGTAGGCGCGATAATGGCCTCTTTCACTACTTATTGGGGCGCTTGACAGCTACCACATCCATCAGAGTGTGTACTACATCAGTCGGCCCTAGCTAGACACAAGCGAGTAAGATATCTACAGTAGAAGATAGATGTTTTCGTCTCTACTGATGCTCGCGTGGGTCACACTATAATACATATGCTCATCAACTCTACTCTCACTTTCTGCCAGAGACGAGCCTCTCCAACTCCCCCATGTCGACCACATGGAACTCTCCGCCTGAAGCCGCGCCACCTCTTTGGGCGCCACCAGACGAGCCCTTGCCACCAGCAAACACACCAAGCTTACCCCCGCTCTTGAGAGTTCGACCCTGCTTCCTGACAGCCTCGTACATCCTTCTCTCAGTCTCGTTCCTCGCCGTCAACTCCTTGCCGCCCTTGACCTCGTCTTCGTCGTCGTCGCCCTCCTCGCCACGCTTTCTCTTGCCTGGCTGGGCACTGGCAGAGGAGCCGGTCTTGACCTTCTTGGACTTGCCAGCATTGAGAGCGCCGGCCAGCTGAGCGGGAGATTCTCGTAGAGCGAAGGCTTTGGCAAGATGACCCAGATGAAGCGACTTGGGGTGGAAGAATTGCTTTTCTTCGAGAGGGTGAGTAGAATAGGCTCGTACAAACGAGGCGAAAGCCCTCCTGGCAAGCGCAGCATTCTAGAAAAATGTCAGATATATACCATATGTAATTTCAGTGATGACTCACAGGCTCAGAGTTCAGAACCCAAGTCTCAAAGCCATTCTGCACCTCTGTCGCTCGATTCTCAAATTCCCAGCCCTTGCCTCCGAATCCCTTCTTCAAGACGTCCTCAACGCCAACCTGCGCCAAGTTGACTCCACCCTTGCCTTCGGCTGAGCCCATCTTGGCCTCCATCCATGGCACCCACTTCTCTTCACTCGGCCCGACAAACGCCCAGGCCTCACCACCTTTACCGGCTCGCGCGGTACGACCCACTCGGTGGACGTACTCGTTGGCTCCGCCTTCTGTAGGGAGATCGTACTGCACGACAGCTCGGACGAGGGGAAGATCAAGACCACGAGACGCAACGGAAGTCGCAAAGAGGATAGCGGGCTGTGAGGAGGCGGTCGCGAATGCGCCGAGAGAGGCAAGACGAGTTCGGAGGGGAAGGGAACCGTGGAGACGATGGAGAGTAGTGTTTGGGAAAAGGGGTGAAGTGAGAGAGACCGGCTCATCCACGGCCTTTGGCTTGGGCTTCGATTTGGACTTGGACTTTGTCTTTTTCGCCTTGGGCTCGCCGTCAGAGTCAACATCCTCCTCGCTATCACTACCATCTTCAGAGTCCTCCTCAGCTTCTTTCTCTTGCTCGCCCATCTGGACACCACCCAGCATCTTCCAGTGAAAGTCGACGGCATCCGTCGAGCTCAAAAAGACAATGACCTTTGTGCCCTTGGCGTCGACATCGATTTTGCTGGCAGAGGAGACGAGAGATCGAAGGAGGGCTACAAGAGCAACCAGACGAAGTTTTGTAGGGGCGACCACATACTTTTGCGAGAGCTGCGAGGGCGGGGTAAACTTGTCTTCGGGCTCTTGGGGGATGACCACAGCAGACGCTTGTTCGATCGCCTCGGCAACAATGTCCGGCTTGCCATCCAGCAACTTCTTTCCATCCTTCTCCTCTTTTCCTGATCGGAAAAGCACCGGATCTCTCAGAGCAGCGCCAGACAGCTTCTCCACCTTGGCGTCTACAGTAGCCGAGCAAAGAACATTGAGTCTTCCTCGGTCCCAGAACGGCCATCGCATAGTACCACCACCCTCCTCATCCATTGCCTTTTCAATGTTGATCTCGTTCCTTCTCCTTCCTTCCAAAGCTTTGATGATACCCTGGATAGTCTCTTCGAAACCGAGATCCATGACTCTATCGGCTTCATCAAGCACAAGGAACATTGTCTTGGCGCATTGGAAAGACATGGTGTTTTGCAGGTGATCAAGCAGACGACCGGGGGTGGACACGAGGATGGGCACACCTTTTCTCAGCTTGGCCTTTTCGTGCGTCCTGGTGCTTCCACCGGTAAGCAAGCCGGATACAAGCCATCGAGTGAATGGTCGCTCGTCCTCGTCGCTATCGCTGTCTTCTTCATTAGAAGCTAAAGACATGTGAAGCAATGATTCGACCACTTTGGAAATCTGTTGCGCCAATTCTCTCGTAGGAGCAAGGATGATGGCAAGAGTGCCGATAGACCTGTCGATATAGGATAGTCGGGAAAGAGGAAGGAGGGTTTGGATGATGGGGAGGAGGTAGGCAAGGGTCTTACCGGAACCGGTTTGAGCTTGGATGAGGACATCTCGCAAAGGCTCATCGCCTTCGTCACCGGCCTTCTTGTCGGGGTTGAGAGGAGAAGAAAGCATATAAGGAAGGCAGTTCCTCTGGATACCGGTGGGCTTCTCCACACCCATCTTGCTCTTCAGGTGCCTCACAAGAAGCTTGTTCAGGCCAAGACCTTGGAAAGTCGTCGGGTCACCGCCAGGCGCATTTGAAGGTAGCTTTTTGGCAGGAGCAGGCTGCTCGGCCGCCTTGACCTGAGGCATATCGACATAGCTGAATAATGAAGATATAATTTGGGGTGCTTTAGGTGCAGCAGGCGCTTGCTGTTGGGGCGCAGACTGAGCTTGCGAGGGGAGAGGGGCGCGGTCATAGTCGACATCCGGGTTGGATTGGCGAGGTTTGGGCGCGGGCTTGGAGACGGGTCGGGGTGCAGACGAGCTCACAGTTCTGGAAGCAGGTCGAGAAGGGCCTGCTTCAGCGTTGGAGAGAGTCCTGGCTGGAGCAGCTGGTCGTGGAGGTGGAGGTCGGGAGACGGGCGCAGGGGGAGGGATATATTTGGGCTTGGGCGCAGCGACAGGGGCCAGAGCAGGCGCAGCGGCTACCTGAGCTGCCTCCTGGGGCTTTGCGTTGGCACTTCTGTAGGCATCGCGGGCCTCTCTCTTGTTGATCAATCTGAGCTCAGTCAGTCTCTCGCCAGCCGCAGAATGAACCAAGAAGCTTACCTGTCTGTCCAACGACCTCCCTTTTTGGGCTTTGCCTGTCTGACGCTGTTGGCCGAAGGCGGTGCGAAGTTGAGCTCGATATCGTCGGCCATCTGGAGCTGGTTGTGCGCTTTTGTTTGTGAAAGACGTCAAACAAAACCTTTTCGGGATTCAAAACGATAATTCTTATCTCAGGAACGAGCCAGGTCCGGGAAGCCCCCCGGGACTCGCTGCCACGGTTACGCATGTGAGTGGAGGTGGTTCCTTCTGTGGCAAGGTGTCATCTATGCATCCTCTCTTCCATCTCCATCATCGTCCACCCGCCATGTTCGACCCCACCTTCCTGAACGACGGACATGGCAACAACGTCAATCTGTCCACCCACACCTCCACCTCCTCATCCGCGTTACTCAGCTCCGTCCGCACAGAGCGTCTCGCTCGCGAACACGCCCGCCGTCAAGAACTCGCTGCAATCAGTCTCCAGAAGCACTGGAGAGGCAAGAAGGATGTTGACAGGCTGAGAGTACGGATACTGGAAGACTTGGAGCAGAATCTGGCGAGCGACGAAGGGCTGAGCGTTGAGAAGGCCGGGAGGGCCATGGTCGTGATGTTGAGAAGTCAGGCCACGGATAGTGACGAGCTGGCGAGGACACGTAGGGTCATTGGGAGCTGGTGTGAAGCGGGCCTTAAAGAGGACGGTAAGCAAATGGGTACCAAAAAGTGACAATAATCAGCTGATTGTGCCAAGATGGGAAGCCGAGGTTGATACAACCTTTGGTCGGCGATCCAGAATGGGGTGTAGTCCTCGGGTCACTCAGCGTCAAATTTTTGAGAGTGCTAGAACATCACCCAACATCTCCTGAAGTGCCGGGCATTTTATCAGGCTTGGAAGCCATCGTCAGCTTGCGGACCTTCGATGATCTACCTCAACATGCGGTGCCAGATTGGTTGGATATCGTTCAACGGCATGGCTGGGTGGATACGCTAGTATCAATTTCGAAGAAGCTGATCCAGTCAAGCGTGAGCCTGCTCATTTTGTCGTTTGACAATCACTTATGTCATCCCAGCCGCCCAAGAAGAAGCATCCCCTGCTCTCTCCCGTCATCCGTCTGATCGCAGCTCCCCTCCTGATGTCACGCAATATCTCCGGGCTGGCACCTACGATCACAGCACTTCTCAACCAGCTCCTGACCATTCCGAATCTCCCTGGTTCCCTCCCTCTCCCTGCCCTCACCTTCATCTCTGGTCACCTACACATCTTTGACATCTTGGTTCCCTTTGCATCCCACAACCCGCATATCTTATCCGAACATGGCTTGTCAGATGAGTCTGGGAAGACGTATTTTCTGGCCAACCTCGCCACATTCGGTATATCGGGACAATTGCTGTCACAAAGTGGTATCGTTGGCGCTTGTGCCTGGATGAGCGTTGTCGGTGTCATACTGAGCGGAGTCAAAGAAGGCTGGGGTAAATGGGTTGAAGGGATCGAAGAAGACGAGGATGTAGTTATGGCGGTTGTTGAAGAGGACAGTGATGACGATGAACAAGGCGGAGCTGCAGCAGCTCCTCGCAAACCGACTCGACCTCGACGAGCAGTCCTTCCACAGAATATCCGATCAAAGCTGATCCATTTATCGACGCCATCCCATATGGCGGTTCTCTCGCAATACGTATTGTCTATGCCGCGCAATGCCCCGCCAACACTGCTCGAAGACTTTTCGTCATTTTGCATCGGCCTGTTGAGTGCGTCGAGGGGTACCCCAAAATGGGAAACTATCCTCGACTCTTTGGTGGACGGCAGGAAGGGTCTGGCGCTCATGAAGGGCATCTGGAGAGATGGTGTTAGAGGTAGGTGGGACAGCAGTGAGGATCCGTCCATGTGGAATCAGTTCTCAGAGAGTGAGTGATCTTCATGCCTGGTCTCGATTTGCTGTCCTGACTGTAATAGACCGCAACGCTCCTGCCCTCCTTCTTCTGACCCATCTGTACTGCCACTATCTCCTCTTCACGCCCGACGATGAGTTCTTCTCTCCTTCCCATAATCCCTTCACAACCGACGAGGTCCTGCAACTGGCCGTAATTTGGAGGAATTTGGCTTTCTGGGGCTACATGGGCGGCGTTTCAGCTCCCTCGGAATCCGGGTATACAAGTCGAGGAAGACAGAACAAAGATTTCAAAGGGAGTGAAGAAGCTAGGTCGTTATTCACCAAGGGTGTGACGCGCGTGGCCGAGAGAAAGTAAGTCGTGTCTTGACGTATAATGGCATACTTGGCTCACATACGACCAGCGCCCGAAACAAGTTTGCTGATCCTGAGATCTGGGTGATGAATGTCGAAATGGATATGAAGGGCTTTGTGGAGGCAGCAGTGTAAGCCTCAGCGAATGACAAAGACAAACTGACCCTGACCCATGTGCAGGTATGAAGATGTCGAATTGTCTGGTCTCAATGATACAGAACCGGAGATCCCAGACTCCTCCCTTCCCCGCTGGGCGCGTACCAGGCAACGTTACAGCAAGAGGCAATTGGCATACATATCTCCTAGGCTGGGTCTGCTCAACAACTTGCCGATGTCTATCCCTTTCGAAACGAGGCTGCAAGTCTTCCAGATGTTTATCGAGTGAGTGCAAAATGTTATTGGTATGAGGAGTACTGACATCACTGCAGAGCGGACAAGACAAAGATTGGCATCGACTACAATAGCCGACGTCAAAGACTTCCTGCCGAGATTAGGCGAGATCATGTTGCGCAAGATGGCTTTGACGGACTCGCGTCCGCCGGGCCGGCTCTGAAGGGCAGGGTGGATATTACGTTCGTGGATCAGCATGGACTCACCGAGGCGGGTATTGATGGAGGAGGGTTGTATAAGGAGTTCTTGACCATGTGAGTATTAAATGGCTCTTCATTGGACCACCTGCTGACACTGTTCAGGTTGACGAAGGAAGTTTTCGACAGCAATAGAGGCTTGTGGCTTGTGACCAACCAGAATGAGCTTTATCCTAATCCTCATGATTTCGCTTCGGAATGTGAGTGAGACATGTCTTTCCCAATCCAGCAGGCTAATGTGGCATGGAAGCATTCAACCTGAGCTGGTATCGATTCGTAGGTTTCCTCATCAAATGGCTCGAGTACAGAATTGACAATATGGTACAGATCGGTCAGATGCTCGGCAAAGCCATCTACGATGGCATCTTGGTCGATGCGACTTTTGCTGGCTTTTTCCGTACGTCTGACTACACAAGAAACGAATCCCACAGTCTGATGACAAAGCAGTGGCGAAATGGCTCGGACGACAGTCTTCCCTCGATGATCTTGCTTCATTAGACAAGAGTCTTTACAAGGGTCTTATCAGTAAGTATTTGTAGCCCTGCGGTAACAATCTGACCGGGTCTTGCAGTCTTGAAGAATGACCCGAAGCCCGAAGATATGGCCCTCACGTTTTCTATGACTGAGGAAGACTTTGGTGTCCAGAAGCAAGTCGACTTGATCCCAGGCGGATCTGATATTCCTGTAACTGCAGATAATCGACACGAGTGTGAGTTCATTGATGTCCATATTACCATATACACAACTCACTTTTTTGGCAGATATACAGCTGGTCTGCAGATACAAACTCGACAAACAGATTGCCGCTCAAAGCAAGGCATTTTTCCTCGGTCTTTCAGACCTGATCGACGCCAAGTGTAAGTATTGGTGAGGGTACGCAACTTTCGCTGACGGGATCTTGACAGGGCTGCGTATGTTTGATCAGCAAGAGCTCCAGCAGCTCATTGGCGGAGAAGAGGTGCGCCTGCCACCACGATTATCTAGACGCAAGCTGATATCTATACAAGACCCCAATCGACCTCAAAGATCTCCGGGCCCACTGCCACGTTGACGGGTTTCCCAACGACACGACGCCTACGCTCTTCTGGAAGGTCGTGGGAAGTTTCACCGAAGAACAGAAGAGAGACCTGCTCCGCTTTGTGACGAGTTGTTCTCGGCCACCTCTGTAAGCTGGCATACTTGCAGAGTAAATGAAATGGCTAATCCGAATGCAGTCTTGGGTTCTCCCAGCTTTATCCTAAGTTTGCAGTCAAGTTTAATGGATCGGATATGGACCGACTGCCCACTGCATGTGAGTACTCTGGCAGTGCCAAGGATCCTCACTAACAGCGTTATTTAGCGGCTTGCTTCAATCTCTTGAAGCTTCCTGGCTATACTGTAAGTCTTCAATGATATATAAGAGTGATGGACTAATACCAGACCCAGAACGAGGCAACTCTCCGAAGTAAGCTATTGCAAGCCATCACATCTGGCGCTGGTTTCGACATGTCGTGATCGAATATGGTTGAGATCAAAGAAAAAGAATAGCACGACGATAGGTAGTCTTCCGTATTAACAGCGATTTGTAAATAGATATATATAGGGCATTATCATGCAACGAATGTCACATAGAAGGCAGAGTCCCAAGTATATGATGCTACCCGAGTACCCAGTGTTTCGCGGTTACCTGTCGCGGTGTTTAAGCGCACGTGATTTAGGCCGAACAACGCCGCACCAGCTATTAGCGTGATCTTGATAGATCTTGCTTGTTTTGGCTCTATGATCCTCGCTTTTTTGACACACCCCAGCTGTATCTCGCCCCTGCGCCCGCCACGATGTCTCCCATTCTCAAGAGAGACATAGGCGAACAGTTTCGCCAAGCCCGAAAACTCGCAGCAGCTGCCTCTGGCATCGCCCACCACGACGACCATTCCTACAACCCCCCGTACGAAGGGCAGCCAGAAGATCGGATATACAAGTCCGGACAACCAACAAGCGGAGGTATAGCGGGGTCGTATGCTTCAAGCTCATCGGCGCGGCAAGGTATAGGAGTCGAGAGGAACGAGATAGAGGACGATCATGGATTCAGAGAAGCTAGATGGCTGGACACGAAATTAGAAATTGGGGATGGCAAAGGCAAGCTGAGACAAGCAGAGAGTGATTCTGGAGACGAGGTCGACAACCTGACGGGTGGTCGTCCGTCAAGTGAAAGCTGGATAGAGGAGGCGCCCTCAGATCATGGGGTCCCGAGAACGAGCTTCGGATATGCCGAGCCTGACCTCTACTCTGATGCGAATGTCGGAAGCCCTGCCAAGTGGAGAGATTTTGTCAGTCTTGTAATCGAGGTACGTGTCCAGAGTAATCATCAGGCTGTCGACTGACGTCTCGCAGTCAACGTGTTCGTTATTACTATCACTGGTCGGCCTTGTGTTCACCGGGGAGCTGTTGGAGCATCTAGCTCGCTGGGAGGTCTTTCGCAGAGTAGATGAGCTCTTCATCCTGGTCCCCATGATCGGCAACCTCAAAGGCAATCTTGAAATGTGCCTCTCTGCCCGTCTTGGTACCTCTGCCAATATTGGTGAACTGGACCACCGTCAAACCCGCAAAACGATGCTCGTCGCAAACATGACCCTCCTCGGCCTACAATCTCTCCTCATCAGCTGTGTTGCTGCTATTCTAAGTTTTGCCCTTGGTTTGGTGACGGTGCATCGTTTGGGTGATTCTCCAGAGGGCGTCAGCTATAATAGCACCGTACCGGGATTAGATCCCGGTTTGGAGAGCGCGGACCAAGAGTGGCATGAAGGGTATACAAGACCCGGATGGAAGCAGCTGGTCATGGTGCTGGCGACTGGGATGGGATCTGCGGGCATCAGCAGTGCCGTCCTGGGATCTTTTATGGGTAGTTTGATCATCGTCTCAAGATGGGCCGGAACAGATCCAGGTAAGCCCCTCTGCCATCCCATCAAGACCTGGGCTGATTGAGTGCAGACAATATCACTCCACCACTCGCTGCCTGTCTAGGTGACCTTCTCACGCTATTCATCCTCGCACTCCTCGGCACTGCCCTGGTCCATACCATGGACACCATACTTCCACTATGCCTTCTTATCATCATGTCTGTCGCGGCCGGCTGGTTCACCAAACGCGTCATGCGCAACCAATGGGTCAAAGAGGTGGCCAGGGGCGGTTGGGTGCCACTCATTGGAGCTATGTTAATTTCAAGCGGGACGGGGATGGTGCTTGCCAAGGGTGTGGGGAGATACAGGGGATTCGCACTCCTGGCAATCTCGATGACGGGGCTTACGGGCTCTATCGGCGCTATACACGCAAACCGTCTTTCCACCCAGTTACACACCCTCCTCCACCCCACTCACCCGCATCCCCGACCCCTCGCTCATGAAACTGCGCCTCACCCTGGTCTCTCTCCTTTACAAAGCGCAATCACACTGTGTGCCATTGGGTTCCCTTGTCAGGCGGCGTTCTTGTTGATCGTGAGATGGGCGGGGTGGATAGACATGAGTCTGGGGTGGATCGGATGGGTGGTTTTTGCCTTGACTGTAGGTTCTGGCTATATTTTTCTGCACGTATGACTGACGCAATGTGTAGATCTTGATTTCCATTACGATGGCTCACTACATGACTTTGTTCTTCTGGTCAAAGAACCTCGATCCAGAGTAAGTCACACTATACATGTATCTGGTCGTCACTAACAGGAATCCGCCAGCTCCTATACCCTCCCTATACATTCTGCCCTTGTAGATTTCCTGGGGCAGCTTTTGCTGATGGTCGCCTACGAGATTTGCATCTCGCAAGGCAAAGATGTCATGGTGCCGCCAACAGGGGCTGATCCATGATCATATTTGCATGGATTATTTGTATGGCTACAAGCAACCATAGTATCCTGTATATATATGTACAATTAGTGTAAAAGTGGAACCATAGATTTTACATGCATCTGCTGCTGTTGCTCAGGTTCTTGAAGGTGACACAGCAGCGAGGTTCATATGCAAAGTCCCCCGCGGCCGAAGCCAAAAATGGTGATGTTGACAAAAGTGAAAACATTTCCACTGCATGATCTCTTGCACACTCAGTGCACTTGGCACTTCAGCTCATCCCAACACTCAACATCGCTGCGTGACGGACCTCCAGCCAGCACTCAAAGGCGAAAAGGATGTTTGTGCTAATTGGTATCAAGGTTTGTCAACCGTTGAGCCTGCATTTCGCAAGATGACAGCTGACCAGTCCTGCCATTTCGAAGGATACGGTCCCCGTCGCGCCCAAAACTTTCGACATTGCTCCCTCTACGACCATCAAAGATGCCATCAACAAAAAGTAGGCCTTGTTCTATCTTGCGGGGAATCAATCAGAGCTGACCAAGAGCTCAGATACGCAAACAAGCTCGTCCCAGACAAGGGTCTCGCTCTTTCAGTGTTCGACATTCTGACGGCAGAGGATGGAAAGGTCACTTGGGGAAATGGATTGATGTATTATAAAGGTAAGAGTCATGACTAGCGAGCTGAAGTCGTGTCTGCATGTACTGACTTTGGTGGCAGTCTCTTTCAGATTAATGCTTTTTGCACCTTTCATCGGAGAAGTCATCGTCGGCCGTGTTCTCTCGACTACCAAGTCATATATCAGAGGTACGCTCTATGCATCATCCCAGAATAATCTCTCATGCTGATTGACTGTCGACAGTATCATTAGGTTTCTTCCAAGACATCTATATCGTGCCTTCACTCCTTCCCCCGAACTCTGCATTGTATGTGATGTCTATTGGTTGATATGCTTCTGCTGATGCAAAGTCCGTTCCCCAATAGTGATCCACAGCAGAAAGCCTTCTTCTGGGTCGCCACAGACGACGAAGCGCTATCGCAAGAACAATTGCTCAATACGGTCGTCACTGGTTCGTATTCCTTCTCCAGGTCGGACCCTCCATTGACTCGCCATGTGCAGAACGGTTATATATCGATGCGGGAGAACCGATACGATTCCGAGTTGATTCGGTCGAATGGCGCGACGTCCGACCAACACCACAGAGCCTGATGGCAGAGCAGAATGGAGAAGATGTGCCGGAGAAGGATCCAATAGAGAAGGCCGGTTTCAAAATACTTGTGAGTGACCTGTTGGGGCGAACGAGTACGTCTGGCTGACCAGTGTCACTCAGGCAACGATAGCCGAGTCGGGGCTGGGTGTGACGGCTTGGTGGCCGGGACGTGAGGAGAATGAAGAAGTGTATGAATAGAGGGACCAGTGTTCGGGAAGCAGCTGTGGAGGATCGAGTCGTTGGTGTTTATTTGGGGAAAGATGTTGGGGGTGAGGCGCATATCATCCAACATTGCATTGATTAACGGGTTTCACGCATGTATCACTACTATTATCTTCACGTTACTTATCTTGCGTCTCACATGCTGTATTCCAGGATCTCACAGCAGACCAATGACACCAGGTAAGTATGCATAGACTAACCCTGGGGTTGGTTGGGAATGCGGTGGAAAGTGTGTCTCATCGAGATCTGTCGAGAAATAATCTTCATGGTGCGTTATTCAATCTTCCTTCGAATAAAGCTGACCAGCGTAGACTTTCCTCCCCGCTGCCGCACGTCCAAGTGCTAAATGTATCCTCTAACCCTCTGCGCACCACTCCTCCGCCGCCTTGCTCACCGCCAGACCCTCGACTCTCATTCTCATTCATCGACGACTCGTACTTGCTTTTGGGGTTCGATCCATACGCCTTTACGAGAGAGAAGGGAGAGCAAGACGAACCTGGGCAGAAAACAGGTCAGCTCTTTGGAAAAACGGGAGAGAGGGGTGCCGAGTTTGGTCGAGTTGAGTACCCAGAGTATTGCGCGTCAGCGGATGGGATCATCACCGACCGAAAATCTAGAGTGACGAAACGAGATGGCTAGCGCAATGGCTCCACAGTTGCAAGAGCGCCTAGAACAATCGTACTTTATGCATGCGAGAGGTGTTTTCAGCTACACAACCCTCCGGCACCTGAAATGGCACAGGTCGCGAAAGAAGTCGGAACGAATTGCAGGGCGGCAAGGTGTGGGATGCGAGGGCTAGGACGGGGTGGCAGATCCGAATGAAGGATGAAGAGCGAAAGTTGACGGTTTGAATAGAGATGGTGATGTGTCCGCAGTGTCTGTATCATGTGTTGGCATCGAGGTCGGAGAGATGATCGCGGCTGCTTAATCAGTAACAGGTATTCTCTGACGACACCCAATGCTGCAACAGCCCAGTTGAGAATGCAAGGTTTCATGTCGCTACATCAAACCTAACGAGTACAAGCCGCCATCCTACACAGCACTTCCAATACGTGCCGAGACAGGACAACAAGCTTAAGCCCAGGTAGACTGATGATGGTCAGTATTTGGTATTTTGTTGATCGAGATGATACTCACGGGCCTGTTGGCGGCGTACCAAGCCTTGGACTTGGTCCTTCGGTGGGGGAGGGGGAACTTGAGACCGGGGGTGAGGAGCTGCTTGATGTAAGGCCTCCTGATGTCCTCGGTCTTCTCAATCTCGGCGACACGGAGGATCTGGACGTTCCTAAATCGGGCACGGTGTCGGGCAGCCATGTCCTGGTACATGGACTCGACGGCCTCGGCTCGGGAGAGGGCTCGGAACTCCTTGACCATCTGCAGAACGGGTCAGTAGGCCACATGGTGATTTGTAAAGTTGACGCACGTTGTGGGTACCGGATCGAGAGTCGTATCGGAGCCAGATGGCAAAGTTCTTGACCTTCAAGGGCTTCTTCTCGTGGATCTACATTCCTTGTCAATTTCAGGCCCCGTGCTCTTTTTTCAATTTCCACGCACGATGTTGAGGGCAACAATCTCTCCGTTGGCCTTCTTGGCCTTCTTCAACTGACGAAGGTAGTACCAGTATCGGGACTTGGCGACAACCTCGTTGGGGGCGAAGATCCTCATTCGGCTGTTCCTTCATCAGTCCATGCTCTTCACAGGGTGGATGGCTGTACGCACTAGAGCTTGGGGGCGGGGTCCGCCTCGGTAGGGAGGGTTCGGCCCACAACAGAGTACTCGGTGAAACGAGACATTCTACGATTCGACGTCAGCACGACGCCCCTTGCACTCTCCAAACATCCCAGCCACAACACCCCCACAGCCAGCATTGTCCCTCCGCGACAGCTCCGAAGACGTGCTCGACCGGCAGCATTGCTGATGCCATTCTCGGCCGTCCAACTGGTTTATCGTCAGGACGCAGACATTGCCCCGGTGTTTCTTCCTCGCTGTCCGTCTTCTCCTTGCTGTTCTCCTGTGGCGTGGCGGTGCTGTGCTGGGCTGGGTTTGGCGGCGGATGACTCACTTGAACGGTCTTGAGGGATACGGAAGAAGCAACAACACCACCAGATAAAACACCATACAGTCAAGTCACAAGCGGCGCTCCCCGCTCAGCCGTTTTTTGTTCGTGGCGGATTAACGCCGACAGACGCGGCAAACGGGACTCCCCGCGTCTGACTTGCACGTGGCTGCTTACGTATGCGTCGCGTGGCGCGATGAAGTCAAACACGCTTGGACGTGAGCGGGAGATGGCTCACTGCTGCTGAGACTGGCTGAGACAGGCGAGGCTCTGCTCCATACACCCCACCCTCGTTTGACCCCGCCGTGTCCTCCCCTCCCGTCAGCCATGGTACGCCGCCCGGCCCCCGCTGTCCCCCGTGATCACCTGCTGACACCGATCAGGCCACCCTCATGGACTTCTCCCACCCAGACCGCAAGTCGGACGCACAGTTCCAGCAGATCCTCGACACCTTTGTCGGCGAGAACCAGACCGTCCTCACCGGCAACCTTCCAGACCGTACGGTGCTCTGCTGCGCTCAACGCCAACAAGCTGACCCGTGCCACAGTTCTCGCCGGCTACGAAAATGACCACGACGTCAAGATCCTCGAAGAGTCTGACTTTCACGGAGTCAAGCATCTCTGTGAACAGTACCCCGACTTGGAGCTTGGCCCCACCGAGCTGTTTGGATTCTTGATGTATGCCCTCGCTCGCACTGCCAAGAAGCGCGCTGAGTACATAAACACAGGGCTGTACTCCAGCGTTCGACATCACCGCCATATCCTACACCCGAAACGACCCCAGCCCCTCAACATTCTACGCCTCAAGATGATACTCGCAGACGCCGCCGACACTCTGACCGCATCCGCTCTCCCTCCGATGGATCCTCTAGCTCGTCCGAAGAGGAGCATCCTCATCTCCGCCGTCAAGACTCTGCCCCCGCCACCTCTCTCTCCTTTCCGCTTTCATCCACCACTCAACCCCCCAAAGGCTTCTCCGGGCCAGTCCGAAAAAAGACACTGTCAGACCCGAATCGTTCAGACAGCTCGATGGACTCGCCACTCCCGCCACAGAGGGTCCGAGGCCGAGGAGCGCCACCGAGTGCGTTCACGGGCGGATTCGCGAGACCGAATCCCGCGAGCAGGAGGAGGAGGGGATCGAGCAGTGCACCGGTGGAAGATGATCTGAAATCACCGGACCTATATAACTCGAGGAGGGCGTCTTCGAGGGCATCTTCGCGAGCCCCGTCGCCCCAACCGTGGAACGCTGCCCCTTCCCGCCCTGCATCTCGCGCCTCTTCTCCAATGTCCCCAACTGATCAACTAGATCATTCTTCCTTCCATGAATCGTGGCACGACCGTGCCAAGTCTCCCGATGATATGGGTAATGACGTCGAGGCTGAGCGCAAAGTCCTCGCCGACGCAGATTATGATGACGAGGTTGATGAAGAGGAAGAGAGGCGGGATGGGCTGGATAGAGATGTGACAGGTAGCGATTCTCTGATGCCAAGATTCAGTCGCATGACTGTGAGTAGACCTTGTCACCGTGTATTCAGAACTGATGTCGATAGACTGAATCGACGGCATCACTGCACACTTCTCATGATCACCTACGGCGACTCAAGAAGGAGAACAATGAGCTGCTGCGCAAGCTGAAGGAGACAGAAAAATCATTGGCCGTACAGGGGTGAGTTGTGCCTTTCTGTCCCGGTCTCCTCTGACATCATGGTAGCTCGGAAAACGAACGAATGGTGGAAGACCTCCAGGCCCGGCTCGAAGAAGCGCAGGGAGAGATTGCTCAACGACGCAAGGACGAAAAGGATATGCGTGGCAAGGACCGAGCGCAGCTTATCCAGATCTCCGGGGTACGTCTACTCTAACGATTTTCCGTCCCTGCTGACAGGCGGCCCAGTTTGAAGCCGATATCCTGAGCTTGCAGCGGAGCTTGGAGAATGCCAAAGCAAACCATGCAAACATGCAAAAGATGTACAATTCACAGTGCGGTAAGTATTCCAGTATGCCTGGTGGTCTGTGCTGATATCATGCAGACGAGGCGCAGAGGCTGAGAGATATGCTGAGAGATCGGGACGCCGAGATACAAGAGCTTGAAGAAGTCACAAACACTCAATCTGCCGACGAAGAAAAGGTATGTTTCAGTCATATATGCAAGAGACTCGGCTGATAGCCTCTTAGCTGTCTCACGAGATACAAGCCCTCGAGGCCGAAGTCAAGCGTCTCGAAGGCGACCTTTCTCTTGCTCGCCAAGCCGAATCTCACCTCCAAGTCCAGAAACAGGAAAACCTCGGGCTCAAAGAGACTATCGACCGTATGCGCTTCGACCTCGACGAAGCCCGTGCCCAAGCTGCCCTCGCTGGCAACGCTGGCCGTGGTTCAAACAGCGCTACTGCCTCTTCCATGGGAGGTACCATTTCGAGAAATCTGGGCGATGAGCTCGGCAGGAGACTCGTGGACGTGGAAAAGGTCGGAGAAGAGGAGGGTGAAGACGGGTTTGTGGAGACTATTGTGACCACCCAAAGAACGCGAAGGGTCGGGGGCAGAAGAAGTCCTGTGCCGCAGCCCGGGAGCTCGAGTGAGACACCGCAGGAGCCGGTATACGTCGAAGAAGGCGTGCGAGAGTATGTGGATGCCTCCACAGCTACAGATTCTTCTCTCCTCGAACCCCCCATCTCTTCTCCACCCGCATACACGCCAGAGCCGCCACCTATCAACATCGACCAAGTCCTCTCCCGTGCCCATCCCAAAGCAAGAGAACACCAACACGATCTACACGGGGGCGTGATAGATGGAGAGGAAGAGTATCAACAGTTGGTGGATGCTGTGGGTGTGCGGTGTACGGTGATCGAGGATGAGATGAAGATGCAAAAGTTGGACAAGATCAAGCGCGGAGGTGAGTCTTCTCGGAGCGATCAACGGCAGAGCTGATCAAGAGTAGAGACGCTGCGGAGAAGGGCCAAGAGGGCACCCTGGGTCGAAAACTCTACCAATGGTATATACCAATATATCTTTCACGGTACGACCGACGTTCGGGACAACTTTGGGCAATATACTGTCTTTGCTGTCGCTGTCTTTGCCTGTGCGTTCAGGACCCGTCACCCCTTGCATCGCTAACGTGCATCTAGTCGGCTTGATAGCAGGTTCCCATCTCGCCGGCCCTGCTGCCGGCCTCCACCCTCGCGACTATAGGCTCTTCCAGCAGATGAACACGCTCGCTGGAGCGGCCGGTATCGGAGAAGGTTTTCTCCCCGGACACATGCTGGGTGTGGTGGATCACGGCGCCCGACTTGTTGCCGGCAGGATCCCGACCTAGAGATGGGATCAGGCGGAAAGGGTGCATGACAGTATGCTCTTGTGACTATAGACAACATCTTCTTCGGGCTGTAGAGATCTAGATACCTCGAGAACCTCCCCGTTCTCACGTAATCACCACTCAGAACGATTTTTTCTGTTGAATGGGTACCTTTAACGATATTATAACGAGCGAAGAAGGAAGGGAATCTTCTTCTTCGGGCTTACGACGCTTTCCTTTTCCTGCTTTGTCTATGACCTTTATGCCTATACTGTATGATGACGACCGTAATGAATGTTGATGCTTTGCGAGATACATACGTCAAACGTCGAACATGTGCTTGGTCTGGACATTGCTTCAGCATTCCCGATGAGAGACCACGGTGCCGTGAGGGCGAGCTCGGGCGAGGAACAGGTCTTCATCTCGCGTTATACCCCTTGTGACACTGTCAGCGCCGTACATGCCACCGCTATCATTGCCGTTGCTCGCCACCAAGACCAATATGACCGGGTCAACATTTCATAACCACTGGTTCCAGGTTAACACACGGAAGGCAACAAGGAGGCATGCCAGGGCATCTCCTCTGCCGGCTGCCGGCCTCTGTGCATCTGATAGCCCACATGGGGCTCTGAGCCCAGTCACGAGTTCTCTTGGATGGCCCGATGACGGTAGCAATGGGCTGCCCATATCGAAATTTGTGCATTTTTCTCGTCCCGAGTATGTAGTTCTTTTGACGTAAAGTACGAGTAACTGTATATTTGACATTTCAGCTTCAGCTTCGGCAGCCTCTGTCAACTGTCAGCGTCAGGCCTCAGGCCTCAGGATTGTCAGCACCGGCACCTCTTCAAGACGGTGGGGGAATGGCCGGGGAAGGACCTATTCGGACAGAAGCCGGGAGGAAGAAAACTCCGGTCCCTCGTCAAATAAAGTGTATTGCACGATCATCATGATAACAGCATCGTTCTTTTTCTCTTCCTCCGTTCTCTTGTGCTAAATTCTAGATGGCAGAAAGATATTTGTATCAAGTACGTTATCAAGTATGAATAAAATTTAAAGCAATCGTTCAAATTGCGCAAGCATACTTTAGCGCCTGATGTCCGAAGGCCGAAGACATCGCCATGAACGGAGAACAATGAACGCTGTCGTCACTCGTCAGTCTAATCCCGTCAGGGCTGTGGGCTTGTGGCCCCGGGATCCTGAACATCATCTCTTGCCATCACACATCACTCAACACTCAGTCGCGACATCATGACTACCGCTTATTATCGGCCATTGGTCAAATGTGCGTCTTGGCGGCGATGGAAGCTGGAGAAGAGCGCGGAAGGAGAGAACAAGGACCCAGCAGCTCAGCCAGCTCAGGCACCCACCCCAACGAGCGCCTGACCTCCTGAATGAGAAAACGCGATGAGGCCCCGAGTGCTCATGGCGGCCACATCCACTGAGCAGTTACAGCTCAAAATGAACAGCCATGGTCGGAGGTTTGTCTGCAATCTATAACAGCCGATTTGCATGTACCACGCTGCCATGTTACGTTCTGACCTCTCCAGGGTCTTCTGATCGAAGCCGGCGCGGGAGAGGTGGTGATGAATGTCTTGCGTAATGACGGAGGCTCTAAACCCTCTTTCAGCCTTTGCCCTTAGTTGATGGCGCAGGAAGAGAGTCAAAAAAGTAGACTTGTCTGGTCTTCCAACTCTGATCTGAACACCACCATGCACATGGCACCTGCTCTTCTTGGGCCTCTTGCCTCTTGCCGGTCCGGTGCAGAGCGTTTGATGACTCCACCTGGGCGGGGCGGAGGTTTACATAGTTTGTGAATGAAGTATCGGCTACGGACAGTGATCGCCCAAGCCCGCTTCATTGTCAAACTGACGTCGCCTGTCTTACTGCAGTCACTGCCAAGGCAGAGCATATGTACTTACAAATGCGAAAAAGAATGCTCGTCCTCAATCATTGGTAACCACCAGCCCCAGCGCGCAGCGGCTGATCCGGATGCAGGGGTAAAGCGGTTAGTACTCTAGCTGCTAGCACAGTGACTAGCCCAGCCTTGATCGCCCAGATCATCAAAGTTCATATGTAGGGTCCACTCCTCACTCAGAGCGCAGAGCGCAGTTGCTCCATGTTTCTGATCATCGCGCGAAAAAGATGCTAGATGTTATACATACGCTCGGCGAGTGTCCAGGCGAGTGTCCATGAAACTGCTACCGTATATCGACTGCGCCGATTGTTGTGATAATGATATGAATTAGAAGATATCCAGCTTACAAACTTATAGAACATACGCCATCTGCCATATACCGTACACATAGGAGCGCGACGAGCGGCGAGAAAGTAAAACTAGAAAAACTACGGGCTTTTCGGGGCTCGGGAGGCAATATAGATCTGCTCCGGCTTGCGTAAATGAAAAGATTTGAAGTACGATCGCGAACCGCGAACTTCCGAGACCCGCCATGCACCTGTCACTATCTGGTCTACAGATTGTTGCGCTCTCATCTCTACATACACACCCCATTCGCCCTCGGATCCTTTCGCTGCTACCCCCGACTGTGTATATACTCTACCAGCAAAACTCTCAGCAATACCTCTGAAAACTTTGGTCCCCGACAAAACAACAGGAGAGTATTCCATGGCCTCGTCACCGCCGGCGGTCAGGTCTCTGAAAAACATACAACCCAACCGATAATTGCCTGTATTTCGCCCATCTACGGCAAGTGATTGGAGCGCGATCTGCGCGAGCATGCCGGGTCCATGGGCAGAGAACATGGTCGGGGCGGGTCTGAAAGCAAGAGAGATATACCTTGCGGAGCAGACGGGGAAGGTTGAGGCGAAGAAGGGTATCATCATTGTCAATGTCGTCATTTTGGTAAGTGCTCCTCCCTTCGTTGCTGCATTCTCCTGACGTGTGCCAGTGCTTGACTGTTCTCGGCGCCGGGATGATTGTGACCAGTATGACTATCAATGAGTTTGTTCGCGGAAGACCAGGTACGACGCGCACAAGGATCGTTCAGGCATTGATCCTCAGCGACCTGATCCTTGGGTAAGTCACCCCTTCCATCTATGTCGTCTGTATATCTAAGACTGATATATAATCCAGCATCGTTGGCCTGGTAGCTGGTGCTTTGACGCTCTCGGGCGATGGACACCTTATAGCGCACGGTACTGCTGCCTGTTCCGGACTGGGATTCATGCTTACCACAGTCTTGTGGTCGGGTACGTAGCTTGTTGAAGAATTTGCTCAATATTGACCACTGCCACAGAACACTTGTGGACGCTCATCTTGGCCTTTGCCACATACATGATCCTCATTTACGTGGGTCTCAGCGGATCATTCTTGCTATCTGCGCTCATCATACTTTACAGCCCTTGCACACAGTGACACTTTGGTTGGAGAGGCGGTGGTACATTCTCTGGGGTTTTGGTGAGTACACAGATAACGCAGTTGATTCGTTGAGCTGATTTGTACAGTCTGGGTTCTATCACCCATGATCGGGTTGGTTGGTTACAAGGTTTACGGGTATTATCCCGCGGGAGGTGTCTGTTATTACGGTGACAATACCGGTCTCTATGCCGAGTTGATCCAATTCATCCCCCGGGCAGTCGTCTGTCTCACAGTGGTCATCCTGTATTCACGCCTGATCGTCTTCCTACGAAGGCCCGACAAAATTCGTGCAGGCGGATCTGGATCCACAACTGGGTACCTCACGCAGTCTGAAACTGCTGAAACTCGTCGCCGATCGCGCCTTGTATCGTTTGTCAATGTCTTCAGACGACAGTCTCCCAAATATAACCACAGTGCTGAGGAAGAGGTCAAGTATATGACGGAGGTTCAAATCGAGCCCAGCACCCCGGTCGACTCCAGTGAATCACGAAGACCTTCGCGTACAACCCTTCTACCATTTGTTGGATCACAACCTACATCCCCCACTTCGACCCCCATCCCTTTATCTGATATACCTCCATGGGAAAGGATCGAGTTGCCACCTTTTCAGGTCGATGGTGAAAAGTACGGTGGCCCTCAACAGTTTACGAGGAACAGTAACTCCATGTGGAATGGGTGGAAGGGTCTGGGGGGCAAGAAGCGATCATCGGCAAGTTCGGTGGCCTCACCCAAGCAGCAGCCCAAATCTCGGTTCGGAAGCATGTCTTCTACTGCAGACGGCTCTAATCGGAAGGGAAGCGGGAGTGCGACCGGCGGGCCAACGTCACCGACTCTCTTGCCCCACAACCCGAGACTGCAGAGCATATCTGCGAGTCAAGATAGCTCCTTCTCTCCGATATATGAGCCGGTCCAACCTGTCCGATTCTCAGAACTTCTTCTGCGTCAACAGCAGCAAGAAACCGAGGCTCTCAGTCCCACCCAAGAGGCACCTCCTGATCAGGTCAGGAAGCCAAGTAGTTCTGCCACAATGGTGGACAACCTCTTTCCTCCTTCCCGGCCCCTATCACCGGGCACTTACTTTCCTTCCAATACACAGGCGTGGAATCGGACTTCTACCCCAACTATCGACAGGCAAAGACCATCAGTATCGACTGTAGTCGATGACCTTGACAGTGGCGAAGCTTCCCGAAAATCGTCAGTGCCATCAGACGAAAAGTCTCAGATGCCTCTACTCCTGCAGCATCCCAACGTCGGCCATGCGACACCTGGCAGACCATTATCGCCCGTCATCTCTCAAGCAAGTCCCCCTTCCCGTCCGCAATCTTCCGGCGCATCGTCCTCAAACCAATCGCAGATTCCAACGTTGCAAACAGAACCTCGCGTCATGCCATTAGAAGGCCGGCAGACAACGTCTTCACAGGCCGAGATGGGCACAAAAAGCTCGACATCAGGTGCGGGGACAGGGATGGAGGATGGAGATGAAGAGATGGATCTGTTGAAGATGCTGGCCGGCCCACCCCCCGCCCATATGGTTGATAGGTTTGCGCCGCCGACACAAAGCCACCCGGGAGAGCAGTATGAGCTTGTACCGGAAAGCATGTCGAGCTACCTGAACAGAAAGACGGCGTTGTTGATGCTTTGGTTTCCCCTTGGTGTGAGTGAAACGCCGTTCTTTACGAGCCCTTGCTGATCTCGGATAGTATGTGATACTGTTCTCCGTGTCTTTCGTTCGTTTGATATGTGAGTGGCTTGCTCTTGTAAGATCGCCCACCGCTAACATTGGTGAAGATGACTTTGCGGGAGACCCTCCCACTGCTCTTCGGGCCATCTCCAGGTGGTTTGTCTTGTCTCAAGGACTCTTGGATGCAATAATCTATGGCTTCGTCGAGTGGCAGTAAGTCCTGCCTTCCGGGCTCTGTAACAAATCTAACTTTACATAGCACAAAGCGTGTCGTTCGTAGGCGCGTCCGCCGAGGAACATTCTCACCCCATGAGACTGGCAGCTACAGCGCCAATGGAATGAAAATGGTCGGCAACGCAGCTCGTGCTGTACAAGGCTTGGCTGGGCGTATGACCGGCCAGGGGTCGAGTGGCGGAAAGAATGGGACGGGTAGTAAGCGGGGTGGACTGGCGGGGAGTCAGCAGGGAACGGCGTTAGGTTCGCAGACGGGGAGAGTCAGTTTCACTGGACTGCAGTCCCAAGCGAGTGGGCAGTATGAGGGGCAGAGGGGGACGAGGAGCGGTTTAGGTCTGACGTCGCATCACGAGGAAGAGATGTCAATGGAAGAGCAAGAAAGGGGTCCTTGAGTCTTCCTACTTTCTACATGGGTATACTGTATATCTTTATAATATCTTTCGTACATTGTAGCAACGCGCAAAAAAACACACATGTTGTTAGTCATAAACAGTCAGTCATATACAAGTAGATGCATGTCATCGTCTTGGCGTTAGTCCAGCGCCCAGGTTTCTCCGCTGATGATTCGTTGTCCCACCTCTGCCCCACCCCACTCCAGTACACGCGGAGTTCCTCCAGGAGATGTGGACGAGCTGCTGTTTATGACTCTTGGAAGCTCTAGGACAACGTCCGAGATGGCACTTGAGAAGGAAGGCTGATCGGGGGCGAAACGGGCGAACGATGGAGAGGAGCCATATGCTACAGTGGCGGTGTGTATGAGGCTGCGATTTGTCAAGCAGAGCTCCAGATGATCTGAACAGGCTTACACGTCTGATGTGAGGCCTTTGATGGGGGTGCGTTCACTTCTGAAGCGATGCATCCTGTAGCCGCCGGTGACCTGAGTTATCGTCAGCATACCGATACGATCTACGACTTTTACCCACTCCTATCCGATCTTCGGTAGACTGTTTCAGAAATCAGTAAAGGTAACTGTGATCAGGCAGCTTACATGGAATTCTTCTTCGTACGGCCACCACTCCCCGTCCTTTTCCGTCAGCCTTTCCCAATTCTTGCCTTCTACCTCGCCCGTCAAGCAGCCTTTCAGCGGGTGCGTGAAGATTGCGTCCACCTCATCGGGACTCGGCCGAAGATGAATGAGTAAAGAAGGATCTGAGAGGAAGCATACCACAGCTATCATCGACGTTAGTCGTGTCGCCACCTGGGAGGTGAGGAACTTGCGTATGACAACGATGTGGTTTTTCAAGTGAGCGTTCAGCGGTAGAATCGTCATGACCGGATCAAGGATAGTCAGGTGATGTATTGATGGATGGTTCAGTGGGAGGTCAACCTCCTCATGAGCCTCTCGGCGCTGTGATACCAAAGGTGAGAGCGAATTGCTAGGATCAGGGGAAGGTGCGTACGGCAGTAAAGATGACATCTTCGTCTTCGGGGTCAACTTTACCTCCCGGAAGGGCCTGAGAAGAGTCAGCTGAGATACTATGGCAGAAGGAAATTGGTCAGACAGTTTGTGAAGGGTGTCTCCTAGATTATTTCATTAGCCTCCATATGTACTTATCAGGTCAACGCGTTGCTTGGACTCACCGCAAGGTCTTCGCGCGAGTCGTCAGAAGCACATGCAGCTCACCATCCTTCTCAAAGAGCGCCACAAGCACTGCGGCCTGCTTCATGATACCAAAGCTATATGTCATGAGGCAACTGGACACCCCGGTGAGTAATGACTCACTCTGGTAAAGGCGGGGGGTCATAATTGGCTAGTCTTTTTAAACATTCTGTCGAGTGACCAGATAGGGAGTCAACGACGGCGGATGGTAGCCCTCGCTCTTCCAGGGAGCCCCATGGCCTCGAGTTCTGCAAGCTGGCCATCGCTGTCGATTTGCGAGAATTGGGAGCGGATGCCGAAGGTAGGTGAAGTGAACCTCGATCAGCCTCACGTGAGACCTGAGTGATACAGCCTCCGTCTTGGTCGGGCAGATGACGGTTGGTCTCGGGGAATGGAATGGAGGTGGTGCGCCGGATGGAAGAAGATAAAGGAAAGCTGCAGGTAGATGCAAGACGAGTGCATGACCCATCCTTGCAAGAGCGTGCGTGCAGGGTGGAGGCATGTTATCGTTATCTCCCACTTCGCCCCCCATTTAACCGGGTATCGCCGCCCCCATTGCCCGATACGGCGATCAAGCACCTCATCTGGGCCGCATCTCTTATCAGCCCGTACTTAACCCGCCATTCGCATCTCCATTCCTCATCCGCATCTATAACTTCTCAATCATCCACCCACATCCACTCCCCCCATCATGCGCACTGCAGCGCTTATAGCTCTTCTCCCCTTTATCGCCACCACTGCCGTCGCGAGGCCTTGCCACTCCCAGGAATCTACCCCTGCTCCCCTCCGGGCACGCAAGTCGCTCGCGTTTGGGCCTTCCCATTCCCATGCCAAGTTCGAGCTTATCGATGAGCCTGCCTCTCCCGATTTGACTACCCTGCTGGCCGGGAAGTCCTTCCAGGCCAAGGACGTCGTTGCCGCCTTCCTTGAGTCCAAGCTTGGTTTCCGAGAGGGCTCCGAGTATTACATTCGAGACGACGTGAGTATTCTGTGAACGATGTGTGGTCTGCGTACTGTCGATGTGTGGGCAGTTGAAGAGGGAGCGACGCGGATCAAACTCGGTGGCGACCCTTGCAAGAAGCTGACGCGTTCCGTAGAGCTACACGGATGCCCGCACTGGTGTCGCACACCTCTATGTCCGGCAGCTTGTCAACGGCCTCGAGGTCTCTGACGGTGATATCAACCTGAATATTGATCGGGACGGCCGCGTCATCTCCTGGGGTAACTCTTTCCACCCCGGTTCCGCCCCCAGTCTGAGCGATGTCCACGCGCCCTCCTCGGGCGAGTCCGAGAGGCTTTGTTCCATCCTCGAGGACAACATTGAATCTCACAATGTCCAGCTGGCCGAGCTCAAAGGCGAGACCGGTGCTTGGGGTCTCGTCAAATCGACTGCGCAGAATATCTTGGGCATCTCTCTGCCCTCCAAGAAGCAGCTTGACCACCATGCCATCAAGAAGCTCCACAAGTCTTCTAAGCATCTCAAGGATCATCGCGATGCTGTCTGTCAGCCTTTGGTTTCTGGTGGCATCATGTCTCCTGCCGAAGGTCTTGTCAGTCTCCTTTCTCGAGTGGCAAACGACAATCTGCGAGACATTTCGGCCGATGAACTTGAGTCGACCCCTCAGCACTCTCTCAAAGCCAAGCCTGCCCCCGCCGAGCCTCCTACTGAGATCATTTCTGGAATTGCCCTTGCGGAGGCTGGTGTTATTTCTGACGTTCCCGCGCGTCTGATGTATACCCAGGTGTCGGACGCCGAGCCCCGTCTTGTCTGGAAGTATGAAGTGGAGATGAGAGATACTTGGTACGAGGCGTATGTTGACGTATACTCTGGCGAGCTACTGCGGATCGTCGACTGGGCCAGTGACTTTGACTTCTCAGAGCTCCAGGAGGAGCTTGACCAGCTGAAGGATGACATCAAAGAGCTGAAGGGCGGCAAGCAGAAGCCTCTTCCCTCGCCTCCTTCCAAGCTTAAGCCTTACTCTTATCAGGTCTTCCCTTGGGGTGAGTATCGGCATCGTTACATCAATCACGCTGACACGCTTCAGGTGTGAATGACCCCGAGGTGGGCAACCTTTCCATCGTCACCAAGCCCTGGGACACTGCCGCCTCTCCTCTCGGCTGGCACCAGTTCCCCACCTCCGCCAACCCTTGGTCTACGTTCGATCTCCCGGGACAGACTACTGGTTCCAACTATACCACCTTCAACACTACCGTCGGCAACAATGTGTACGCCCACGAGGACTGGGAGGGCCGTAACAACTTTTTGAACAACTATCGACCTCTCAATGACTCGCACATCTTTGTGTACGACTATGGGGCTGAGGAGGGACTTGCTCCCAAAGAGTATATCGACCTCGTTGTCACTCAATTGTTCTACACCTCCAACATGTACCACGACCTGTTGTACCGATACGGTTTCGACGAGATCTCGGGTAATTTCCAGGCCCACAACTTTGGGCTTGGTGGTAAGGGCGGTGACCCCGTCATTACCAATGCTCAGGATGGTAGCGGGTATGTTGGTTTTCTCCATCCCTCTGCTTTGCTAACTTTCCTCAGGTACAACAACGCCAATTTCATGACTCCTCCCGACGGCACTCCCGGCAGAATGAGGATGTACATCTGGGATACTGCCACCCCTTACCGAGATGGCGATCTCGAGGCCGGCATTGTAATTCACGAGTACAGTCACGGGGTGTCCACCCGACTGACTGGTGGGCCTGCAAACAGCGGCTGTCTTGGGTACGGCGAGGCAGGAGGTGAGTTTATTGAACTACTCATATCTTACATGCTGATTCCTTTCGCAGGTATGGGAGAGGGATGGGGTGACGCTTTAGCATCTATTATCCGCCAGGTTGAAGAGCACAAGAACTTTGAGTGGGTATCGATTAGCAGGCAAAAAGAATTATCTGACCTTGTTCAGGAACAACACCGATACATTCTCCATGGGGGCTTGGGCCGCAAACACTGACAAGGGCATCCGTCCTTACAAGTACTCTACCAACAGCACTGTGAACCCACACACGTACAAGGCTCTCGACAAGTAAGTACATACCCCCTGTGTTGTTTTCCTCGTCCTCTTCCTTGCCATGAAGACCTCCTACTCTAATCGGCTCGATTAACTTCGTTCACCATGCTAATATACCGCTAGATATTGGGGTGTCCACGACATCGGGGCTGTTTGGGCGGAGCTTCTCTTCGTTCTCAATGAGCGACTTATCGAGGAGTATGGTTTCTCCAAGACTCTCTTCCCCCCCACCAATACTTCCGAAAGCAACGACTTCTATACTGCTACAAAGGAAGCCAGCGTGGACTTCAAGGGCCACCCCATTCCCCTTATTCCTAAACATGGCAACACCCTCGCCTTCCAACTCATCATCGATGGCATGAAGCTTCAGCCCTGTCGACCGTCCTTCTTTGATGCACGGGACGCTATCATCCAGGCGGACCAGATCCTCACGGGCGGCGAGAATGCTTGCATCATCTGGAAGGCATTCGCCGAGAGGGGCTTGGGCGTCGATGCCTCTCTTATCGGTAACACTCCTTGGGGTGGCGGTGTGCGCGCCGACGGCTACCACGTCCCCAAGAAGATTTGCAAGACCAAATAAATCATTGTCTCTGGTCTCCATCACTGAGTGAATGCGGTGATTGAAAATGAGGCGTGATCTTTCTGTCCTATCCATTCCATCCCCAGAATATCGAACTCAGAAGTGTAGTCTTTGTAGAACCCTCAATGTGTAGAAATCAGAAGTTGTGACCTCTCCGTTGTACAGAATGCATCGCACGTTCAAGTGCACAGCTACATACCCGACATAGGAGCACAGTGGCGGGAGTAGTAGATAAGGAACCGAGATGAACTGACTTGAGTCACTTGACCGCCCAATGCCGAAAAGTGGAGGTCGCTTGTTTTGGTGCGTGCCTAGACTGTTGTCTCTTCGCGCTATCTCTCTCCAATCTCTGCATCTACGTGCAGCTCGGCTCATTTCTCTCTCCACATCGTTGCCACCACACCCGATGAGCGAAGAGCCCAGGACGAGTGCTCTGGAGGATGTCTTCTTTGGCAGTGTGAGTGCTTATGATCATTGAGACGTTTCGCCTGACAAGTGTCAGGTCGCTGGTATGGCCGCCAAGGTGTTCGAGCACCCTTTTGACTTGAGTACGCAGGGCTCGTCGTGACCCGTATTTCTACTTACAACTGTCCAGTAAAAGTCCGCCTTCAATCACAACCCACAGATCGTGCTCTACAATTTGCTGGACCTCTTGATTGTTTCAAGCAGACGTACAGCAGAGAGGGATGGAGAGGCCTATACCGCGTAAGCTATCTGTCACCTGCACTGCAGCAACTGATTCGGCCACAGGGTATATCTGCTCCTATAGTAGGGGCTGCTTGTGAGAATGCTACGCTATTCTTAGCATACAAGAAGTGCCAAGAGGCGATCATGCTGTTACGGCATGGCGGAGAGGGTAGCCAGGGTCTTGAGCTAGACATGCAGGAGACAGCCATTGCTGCTGCTGGTGCTGGTACTATTGCGAGCTTTGTATTGTGAGTAAACAGGTCCAGCTTGACTCATCTGACCATTGTAGGACTCCTATCGAGCTGATCAAATGTCGGATGCAAGTACAAATGCTGGCGCGCGAAGGAGCGTTGAGTGGAACTCCTTCCACCTCAGCTCCTGTCCCCGGCATTCACCCCTTCGCCACTACTCCCAACGCCACCATTTCTCATAAAGCCGCCGCTCCCCGCTTTTCCTCCCCTCTTGGCCCTGTCGCGTTGATATTCGACACTATCCGTCAATCCGGCGTTCGTGGTCTTTGGCTGGGACAAACGGGCACTCTGCTTCGCGAGACCGGCGGCTCGGCTGCTTGGTTCTCTGCGTACGAGTACGGTGCGAGGCACTTTATCCGTCGACACCAGAGAAAGATTGGCAGTGCGAGAAAGGCTACCAAAGCCGACTTGACCGGTCTCGAGCTCATGGCGTCAGGCGCTTTCGCGGGAGTATCATACAACGTGATCCTTTTCCCCGCAGACAGCATCAAATCGACGATGCAGACGTCAGCTGAACTCAATCCTCACAAGGCGCCTCCAGGATTCTTTCCTACTGCGAAAGATATCTGGAGAGCGCGGGGTATCCGGGGCATGTATGCCGGGTGTGGATTGACAGTGCTGAGATCAGCGCCGAGTTCAGCAATGATATTTTACATCTACACTCGACTAGAAAGCGAATTTGGGGGTTTTTTGAGATAAGACAGACAGAAAGTTGTAGAGTATATTGTAGAGCATTTTCGTCATCTCGCTGGATGTATGGTATTACAATATTGCATGACGCGAGAGATATGATATGATTGGACAACATTCGCAGCGACTTTTGCTTACTAAGCGGCGATGCCCACCAGTTGCCGCTCGTTGTGCTGTCGGTTATCTTTTCCAGATGTTTCTGCAGATATTTGTGTCACCCAAATTCGCGTCTCTTTTCCTTTTGCTCGTCATTCTCCACTCGGCCACCCAGGAAGGCGTCCAGCAACATGGCGGCGATTACGCCCATTCCCTCGGGCGACGATCTTGGCGAACCCAACGGCACTACTACGCAGCCACAACCCGATTTCGCCCAATCACAAAGCCAGCCGTCTATCGATCTTACGGGCGACGATTCAGACGGAGACGATGTCGTGGAGACCTCGAACGGTGTCCACAAGGCGAACGGGAACACGACATCCAGATCTCCTCAGACTTCAATGTTCTCGGGCGCACGGGCCCCAGAGAGCCAAGACGGCTCTCCCTCGACTCAGTTCCTGCCCAAACCCAAGCAGCAGCTACCGAACGTTCGTTCGCCATTCAGTCATTCCCCATACATGCCCTCCAATCCTACGCCAGGTTCAAGCCGTTCGTTATACAATCAGACTGTCAGCGGCTGGGCCCCTGGGAAAGCCGTTCACGGCAATGGCATGGTGCAGCCTCCGGCTCCGCCCCCTATCAACGCGGGTGTCAACTCTTCTTCAGCCATTGACCTCACCTCCCGAAACATTCCCTCTCCCCCGCCTCAAGTCTACGATGACAAGCACCCGATTTGTATTGGGTCTCTTCGTTCTAGTGCCCTCATGCTATACCCCTGTCCCGCCGTGGTGGTGGGCGCAGTGCCTCCTCCTGGTACGAGAGAACGGTATGACATTGTGGAGCACAGAGGCGTTGAGTTCATCAAAGTGAAACTCAAGGTATGTGTGCGCTGTGGTGAAGAACCTCGCTGACGTCGTCGCAGTATCGTGCCTCTGGTACATTGGCTAGAAAGGAAGATCCCGAGTCTGTCCTGCCCCGGGACATAATACAGGTCTTGACTCCTAGCTTGACAGTCTACATTGGTGATCTTGACGCACGGGTTGCTATGCCTCTAGCGTCTCTTATGGCCCGGGGCCTCTGTCGACTGGAAGGTTTCGTCCCACGGCTGCATGAGGAAGCGGTATGTCATCTCGTCTCTCTCAAACATGCTTGCTAATACATCCTTAGCCCCAATACCAAGTACACGTTGACGTTCTTGTCTTCACTCTACCATCCAATATCAACTACATTGCCGAATTCCTGACCAACCACAATCTCTTCTTGCTGGACCCCATCCCACCGTACGATCCTGCTCGGCATTCTGATCACCCGCCTTATCGCAATGCCCATGGCAGTGGAGAACAAGCTCAACGAATGCTGGCCATGGCGCAGAGGCGAGCTTTGACTGGGGAGTTTGTCTTTTCTGATAAGGAGAGGGACAAAACGACGCAAGTGGAGGTGCAGAGAAAGCAGGTTGAAGAGGTGTTCAAGACCTTGGACGATGGCATGGAATTGGAGCAGAGTGATCCGGGGCCTCTGATCAAGACCCACCTCTTCCCGCATCAACGGAAAGCTCTCACTTTTTTCCTTCAGAGAGAACAGGATTCGTCGTGTTTGCGTCAATGCAAAAAGGCAGCGAAGAAGCTTTTGAAGAAGAGGGGCGAGTCAGAAATGGAGGCGGAAGAGGAAAAGGCAAGGAAAAGAGATGAGGATGAAGGGCATGGGTCGTTGTGGGAATACACCAGAGACGATAAGGGAAAGATCAGGTCGTGGAAGAATAGGATTACAGGTGAAGAGCTTCGAGGAAAAAAGGGCAAGTCAACGGATTGTAAAGGATCGTTGCTCGCGGATGATGTGAGTAGTAGTGATGACGGATGTCAACCGGCCGCTGACTTCAAGTAGATGGGGTTGGGTAAAACACTTTCTGTCGTTTCCCTCATTGCTGCCACCAGGAGCTCTGCTCGGGAATACGCCCGCTCCAAACCTGAGCCCGCCAGGGAGAGCCCCAAGCAAGCTGAGGAAGACGTCGAGATGCAGGCCGGACAATTCCGAACCAAAGTATTTGGTATGCCTGATATTAGTGAACAGCAGCGTCTCGACGCAGACAGCAAGAAACGAAAGCGCGACGAGGATCAGACCATCGACGTAGCTGCTCGCCGCGCCCGTATCGCTTGCCGGTCAAAGGCCACCTTGTTAATCACACCTATGTCTACGATATCCAATTGGGAAGATCAAATCAAAGAGCATTGGAATGGCCCTGTTGAAATCGTCGGCGGTGCTTCAGGTGTCATGCCCCCTAAAAAGATTGAACGCAAATGGAAACCGCCGAAGGCCAATGGCGAGGAGTCGGACAATGAAGATTTGGATAATTTTGATCTACTTCGAATCTACATCTACCACGGACCCTCTCGTCGGCCCGATCCGAAATTCATTTCCGAGTTTGACATTGTGATTACTTCTTTCAACACCCTTGCGAACGAATATTCCAAGCAAAGCGGTTCCGATACCGAAAGCAATACTCCCGGCGAGACTGCCAATAACAGCGGCGATGATGTTCCTGACAACAAAAAGGTGGACACTGCCATCAAGCCTGGCGAGGTTGCCGCTGCGATCAAGGGCGGTAAGAAGGGAAGGGGAAAAGCGAAGGGGATGGAGACTAGTCCCTTGCAAGCTATCGATTGGTTCCGTGTCGTATTGGATGAAGCACAGTGAGTCAAGGCATCCATTCGGGACATAGCTGACTTTTCCAGCTACATCAAAACCGCTTCCACTGTTGCTTCCCAAGCTGCTTGTGCCCTCGAAGCGGATCGCCGCGTTGCTCTATCTGGCACGCCAATTCAGAACAAGATAGAGGACGTCTGGGCTCTCTTCAAGTTTATCCGCATCTCCCCTGTTGATGACAAGGAAGTCTTTACAAAATACATCGCCTTACCGTGTAAATACGGCGAACAAATCGGTGTTGCTAGGCTACAGCTTGTTATGCGATGCTGCACTCTACGACGCACCAAAGAGTCGCAGCACGAAGATGGATCTAAAATCCTCAATCTTCCTCCTCGTAGTGAGCGTCAGATGTGGCTCACACTACGCGAGGACGAACGACAAGTCTATGACGAGCGAGCTTCGCGAGCCAAGAACAAGCTTGGAGAGCTGAAGGCCAACAATGAGACAAGCAAAATATATGTCAACATGCTTCAAGAAGTTCTTCGTCTACGTCAAATCTGTGATCATGTCGACCTTGCAATGTTGGGGCCGGTCGAAGAAGACTATGATGGGACAATCATGGACTACGAAGTGGCGGTATCAGGTATCGAGAAGCACGGTCTCACTCAGCAAAGGGCAGTCGCGGTAGTCTGCTCTCAGAAAGAGGGTGAAGGGGCCAACTGTGTTAGCTGTGGATTCGACTTTGGCGAGTGGTTCCCATGGATCGGACTCGGCGGTGTGGAGGAAGAAAAGGAGAAGCCAAAGGTCAAAAAGTTGACCAACAAGCCATTGTTGACAAAATGTCTTCACCTCTTCTGTCAGTCTTTTCGTCTCTTAGAATGTAGCAGGCATGCTGACACAACATAGGTCCCGCATGTTTCAAGAACAGCGTCTACCCTGAATACTCCAAACGCTCCAAGACAACCGTTGCCCGTGCTTGCAGTTGTTGCAATACCATGATTCGTCTTCCCTCAGACGTCATCGAAGTCCTTCCTCCTGATTCTGTTGATGCTGCTGAGCAAGCCCTTGGCGAGCAGGTCGCCAAGCGAGGCGCCCGCAAGAAGTACGTCAGGCAGCCCGGAGAGAAGCTCAATCTGTCGACAAAGATGCAGTTCTTGCATGACGAGCTGCTGCGATTTTCCAAGAAAAATCCTCACTCTGCTCATTACGATCCGTTTGCGATGGATACCGAGGATGATGTGGAGGAGATGGATGCCGAGGGGAAACCTTTTGTGACCAAAAGCGTCGTCTTTTCTCAGTGGACTACCATGCTTGATCGGTAGGTTGATGCTTGCTTTGTTACAAAGCTGACATTCCTTAGGATTTGTGACATGCTTGACGAGACCAACATCAGATACGCCCGGCTGGATGGCACCATGACTAGAGAGGAACGATCCAAAGCCATCGATGCCCTCAAGTACAAGAAGAACGTCGAAGTGCTCTTGGTGTCCACGAGGGCTGGTGGTGTGGGCTTGAATCTGACAGTGGCGTCAAGGTGTTATCTTGTGGATCCTTACTGGAATCCTTCCGTTGAATCTCAAGCTATCGACCGTATTCACCGTATGGGTCAAACTCGACCGGTCGTGGCCATCAAATTGATGATCAAGGACTCGATTGAGGAGAAGCTAGATAAGATTCAGAAGAAGAAGGCGGATCTGGCGACACTATCGTTGAAGACGATGACTCGAAAAGAGCTCTTGGCTCAAAAGGTGGGTGTGCACATGTTCTTGATTCATGCCAAGCTGACAGTCTTGTAGTCGGAAGAACTTGTCAGTTTGTTCAGCTAGAAATAATGTAGAAGGATCGTTTCGTTGTATGTAGCATTGCTTCTCTTACAATCTATGATAGATGGGGAGTCACGGGTGTAGCACGAGCCGTGCAATACAGATATGGTCACAATTTTGCTGAAATAATCCAGTCCATTGAGAGGCCCTCGGACTCGATGGCTCTGCGCAGAGCCCCATTCCCGTGCTGAATTTCGTATTCGATGCGATCGTCCATGCTACTTTGCCCGGGGGCGTAGACTGCAAATTCAGGATCGACGCCATACCCCACAGATGCGGCTCTGATGAGTATGGCCCTTGCAACTATTCAGCTCTGATCAATGACGAGCGTGCACTCACGCTGTTAGCCCATACACCGGCTTCACTCCCTCACTCTCTCTGCCTGTCAAGAATCTGTGCATCCTCACAAGTCCGGCACCCCACTTTACATCTCGCCATCCGTAGTATCTGCCCTCTTTTCCTCCCACAGTACCTTCGTCTTCCGCATAATGGATGGGAGGGGGCGGTGGTATGGAATCGATTGCGCCGGGTGGTAACGTTGCAAGTCGAGGTGATATAGAGTATGCGAAAGAGGGTATCTGCGAGGGTCTGGTATGAAGAAACGAGGCTAGGGGCATGGAAAACAGCCTCGACACCTCGTCGGGGTTGAGCAGCGGTGTCAATGCACGGTCTGTTATGACAAATACCACGCTGCAGAAGGTCAGCGATTGTACAGTACGAAATACGATCGCATGTTCACGGGGTAACGATGAGCGCATTGCCAGTGAGGAACGGATCGAGCAAGCAAAGCTTTCTGATCCTTTCTTGGTCGATGGGGACGCCGATCTGAGATGTTCAGGGGTGACTCTGTTGCTCAGAGGCAAGCTTACTTCTTCAAATGCTTCTCGTCTCTATTTACGTCAAGGTTAAAGCTCTGGTGAGTATGTATCGATGAGAGAAGGCTTACAGCTGTGCCCTCTTGATCCACATCTCCCGGTTCATATTTGCCACCAGGCAGGGCAGTATCATGTGCAAATGTCCGCATGTTCCCCGCCCTCCTACGTGTAGCCTGTCAGTATGTCTTTAGAATTGCTCATGCTGGACATACGTAGAGAGAAGGACATGGAGGTCACCAAGCCGTCCTACAAAGAGCCTGTAAGGTTGTCAGTTCCAGCGACTAGCCCGCAACAAGATACAGACATGATCGCCACAGCAGCACATCTCCGTTTGGGTAAGCGGCCTCTTCTTGGCGGCGGATTGTAACGGGCCAGGCGCCGGATACATCTGCAGCTGGGGTCAGTGATGGAGTGCAAAAGCCACACAACATACTGGAGCGACTCTGATTTGAGGGGTGGCAGAATGGCTTCTAGGGAGGACATGGGATGTGGCTAGCAGTCGGACAGCGCGCGCAACAACAAGAAAGTGGATCGGGAATATGCAGGTCGGGCATCCGCGATGATCAGCGGCCAGGCGGCGCTCACCGCAGCCACCCAGGGCACAACATGATGGGCACACTATCATATGGCTCGTCTCTATCTGTGTCCCTTTCCTCCCACGTTGCAGCAGTCAGGAACGTGTCCCTTAGAAGCCGCCATCAGTCCTGCCATTGTATACATTACACGAGGTTCTTCCCTGCGAGCCCATCATTCCTTTACCCAACACCCGTCTTCTTTTTTCCCCGCCTCCCGCACGATGGCAGATCAAACTCCGGCCATCAGCACTCAGTCTGCTGTCGCCTCTGTCGAGCAATTCCTCCAAGCGCTTCCTCCTGAGCTGATCCTAAACATCATTGGTTGGCTCGCCCTGTCCCCCACCATTAACACTGTATGCGCTTCCCGCACCCTCTACAATCAAAGCCTCCCGCACCTTCACACCCACCCGAGATTGGATGAAGGCAACGTCGAGGCCTTCTACGGCCACCTGTTCGGGCTGTCGAATGTCGAGGACTTTGAGGATGATACCGGTGTGATTGAATTCTACTTTCACCGCCAGGCGGTGACGACTTATGAAGCTGAGCTCCACGACTACTACGGCCTCGCGCCTCTGCTCCGCAAGCTCTTCTGCCTTCAGCACGCCAAGACGTTGACGATCTGTGACTCGGTCGCTCTTCAGAAGACTGTCGTTTCCGTATCCCACTATCACTCTTGGGTCAACTACGTTCGCCGTTGTGTCTTCAAGACGCCCGAAATCAAGAAGCGTCTGGAGGCTCCCCTGTTTCAAGAGGTGGAAGAGATCGTCATCTATCGCGAGGATATTGCCAAGGATGCGTCGAAGGATGAGATCAAATGGGAGTGTTTTCTCAGTCTGATTGAGGTCTTTCCCCAGCTCAAGGATGTCGTCTTGCACTTGCCTTCAGCTATCCCTTGCGAAGGCTTCTATGACCCGATGATCAAGGAGCTGGGCACCGGACACCTCGAGACATTGACCATCTATGGCTTGTCCCCCGCTGCCCGCGAGGACTTGGAAAAGGCAATGGGAAAGAAGTTGGCAGAGGCGGTGATTTTCCATACCATTTGAGTATATGGTAAGTTTCTACTGGCACCCCAAGGATTTGGCTCAACCGCACCGCAGTAGAATGCCTGATGTTGAACGACGATGATGGACCGAAAAGGAGTAAGGTCGTCTAGATGCCCGGGGATAATTGGGACTCATATGTGCAGATTACTTGTCTCTTTCACGAACGAATATCGAATTTCAAGCACGGGCATCCTCAAAGGAAAGCGCAGATACAATTTCATAACATATAAACTCCCTTTTTCAACTTATCGCCCGCGTGCTTGATGTTGCAGTCGGTTCTTTAATTCCAATCCCCATGCTTATCAGTCTTTCTGAACATGCCAAGTATTGAATATGCATATACACAACAGGTCCGAGAGCCACGGGCTCACTAGGCTTCCTACAACTACATATATACCCAATAGCATGCATCGTACCTATTACATCCGAAGAAGCCCCGACTGTCAACAAGTAGGGGCCGGGGCGGATGGCTGAAGATAGTGAGACAACGTCGACAGAACAGTCGATGCAGTCGACATGCATGTCTCTTACCGAGCCGTCCACTGGCGTCCTGGACTGTCGTCATCTTTCGATTTCTGCACTGGGACAGGCAGACATATCATCATGGGATCAGAAGGTCATCAGCTTGTCCATCACGAAGTGGGACCGGGAAAAATGTGGCGATATGCACCTGTTATCCCGTTGTTCGCGGCGAGATTTCCTCAACTGCATAACGAGTACAGTAGCGCATCATCGTTGCTGTCTGCTGCAGGCCATCACAGGTTGTCTCATGACATGGACGAAAGCAGCGATTTAGTGACCGTCGATAGCCGGCTCCGGCCGACTGATTAGATTAGCCCGCTTTTTCCAGGCTACATCCGATTCCTATCGGACACATCTCGTTTCAGCTGTTTAGCGCTTCCCTTCTGCCGGCACCTTCTGCTGAGGTCAGCTGCCTCCCGAATATATAAAGTGCTCACAGCAGAGAGATCTCGCCCCCCATGGCCACCGACTCGAAATCCAAGGCAACCTCTACGGCAAGAATGTCTGTAAATACCAGTGGTCTACAAGAACGAGGCACGAAGGTCGGGGAGACTCTCCCGACACCTCTCGGAAGCCCGGTCAACGCACCCTCCAGAAACAAGTCCTCCTGGGGAAGCAAGCTCGTGCTCCTCGGTATTCCCCTCGGCGCTCTAGCTGTCTTGGGTCTCACTAGTTCATACTGGTATCCTGGGTCGCAAATCTCCGGCCCTCGCATGAACTCTTACAGGCGTCGGGACAATCAAGGCATCCCGGATACTGCGCAGGTCATCAGCCCCAAGAGTTTCGCGGTACTTGACAAGGTCCAACCTGGTACCGAATTTGACGGTTTCTCCGTGAGCATCTCTCGGCCTTACTGCATTCCGTTGCTTACAATAATGTCAGCTGTTTGTCCCTCCTGGATACACTGAAAATTCTCTCAAGGCCAAACCCTTTCATATCCTCGACGATTCCTTTTACGATATCATTGGCGACGATCCCAGCCTCACCCTCCTCGCTGACAGCGGCACCGACCCACTCTTCCACGAGGCTGTCGTTTGGTATGCACCCATGTCACTTAAAAGGACGAGGACTAACTCGGAGAGTAGGCACAAGGATACAGACGAAGTGTTCTTCGTACAGAATGCTGGCGCCAAGGCTGCCGGTACTGGGATGAACAAGTCGGCTATCGTCCAGAAAATTTCTCTTTCGCAGGCCGCCAATGTCCAGCAAGGGAGTCGGAACTCGACGGATATCACCACCATCAACAGCACTGTCCAGATCGTGAACCCGAACGGTGAGCAGATACAGAGACAAATGGCAGAGCTAAGTGCCTTGTAGGTGCTACTGCTTACAGAGGCAAGATCATCTTTGCTGGTGAGGGCCAGGGTTCCGATATCGCACCCGCTCTTTATGAAATGGACCCCAATGAGCCCTATGACACTACTGGTAAGTTTCAATGCCATTCTTGCGATGTCCATAACACTCATCTATCGCAAAGTCATCCTCAACAACTTTTTTGGACGCCAATTCAACAGTCTGAACGACATTGCTGTCAACCCGCGTAACAAAGAGCTGTACTTTACAGATGTCACGTATGGGTACTTGCAAGATTTCCGCCCAGCGCCCATCATCGCCAATCAGGCGTACAGGTTCAATGTCGATACCGGTGCGATTCAAGTGGTGGCTGATGGGATTCAAAAGCCTAATGGTAAGCACATGTTCACCTGGTGATGGTCCGTGTGCTGACTCTTCAAGGTATCGCGTTCTCTCCCGGGGGACAGTATGCGTACATCACTGACACTGGTATCTCTGGTGGATTCTGGGGCAACAATTACACCAACTCTGCCGCCATGTGAGTCCTTTGGTCGCCTCAGGCTTCACTGCTAACACAGTACAGCTATCGATATAACGTCCAGGACGACGGGAGCTTTGAGAACCGCAAGGTCTTTGCGTTCACTCACGTCGGAAATGCCGACGGTGAGTCGTCTGCCTTGGGTGGCTCTTTGAATGCTGCTGACGATTTGACAGGTATAAAGACCGACTCCAACGGTAGGCCCGTATCTGAACAAAACAGCCCGTCACTAACTTGGTCATAGGGAACGTCTACGCCGGAGCTGGGGATGGTATTCATGTTTTCAACCCCTCAGGGATACTCATCGGCAAGATCTATCTGGGGGAGACATCCGCTAATTTCGCTTTTGCTGGTGATGGAAAGCTGGTGATATGTGCCGAGACGCATTTGTTCTATGCTACGTTGGCTGCCAAGACTTGGGATCCGGAAGCGTGAGAGTGAAAAGAAATCGAGGTGGTGCAGAACGACAGAGGGATGAGACTGGAAGTACTAGGTCGGATATAATCAACTCAGATATGTATCAACACATATACCTTTAGAAAGAGAAGATCAACGTATCCTTGCTATGACAGGGCATGGCAACGAATTACAAACGGTAGGGCAAACGACTGGATAACTTTCATCGACGGTCCACTGCCGGGCATTCGGCTTTCAAATCCGATGGTAAAGGCGGTTAAGAGGCAAGAGAGGAGACGATATCTGTACAGATGCATTATCTCAGTCTCCAGTAACATGCAGAACAAGATCAACACAAATGAGCGAACTGAAAATAACCACTTCATCTCGTTCGTTATTAGGCACACTCTATCGTAACAGACGGGCATCCGAGAGCGCGAACAGTGTGCTGCCCCGTTAGCTAGCTTGCTTTTAACGACCCTCGATGATCATGGCCCCCGAGATATCTGTCCCTTTATTTTAGCCATGTACTACATATTTGTTTTTTCCGTTCTGAGCACCGCCCAGCGGACTTGTACATATATAGACACCTACTCCAGAATGTGGCCATCTCTCCCAACCGTCACCAAATCAATCAAGACTTATGATTTCAAAGCAACATGGTTGCTCATACCAGCGATCCGCGCGTAAATGACTTGAAGAGTGAAGCACTCCCAGCACCTCTCGGCAACCCAGGTAAACAGCCCTCCAAGAAGCGCTCTTGGGGGAGCATGCTCGTCCTTCTCGGCATTCCCTTGGGTGCACTCGGCGTCCTCGGTATAACCAGCTCGCACTGGCACTTGGGGCCCCAGACGGCCAACTCTCGCTTGCACTCGTTCAAGCGCCGGGATTCTCAGGAGATTCCGGACGCTGCACAAGTGATCAACCCCAAGGACTTTGCGGTGTTGGACTATGTCCAGCCTGGTACCGAATTCGACGGCTTTTCCGTGCGTTCCTCTCAAACTTCTTGACAGAAATGCTGACCACAGTTTCAGCTATTTGTCCCCCCTGGCTCCACCGAAGACTCTCTGAAAGAGAAGCCCTTCCATGTCTACGACGAGTCCTTCTACGACATCATTGGCGACAGCCCCAGCCTCACCCTTATCGCTGACGGCGGTGACAATCCACTGTTCCACGAGGCTGTCGTATGGTACGGATACATCTTCAGATGACCAGGGCAGAGCTGACATGGATTAGGCATAATGAAACGGACGAGGTGTTCTTTGCGCAAGCCGCTGATATGGACCTTGGATTCGGGCTCAACAAGTCGGCGGTGGTGCAGAAAATCTCTCTCTCTCAGGCTCAAGACGTCCAAGAAGGGACCAGAAACTCGACGGATGTCACTGTGGTGAACAGCACTACTCAAGTTGTCAACCCCAACGGCGAGTCAATGTTGAATTTGTCTAGTGCAAGTGCTAACAGAAGTCTAAGGTGGCACTGCCTACAGAGGAAAGATCATCTTCACTGGACAGGGACAAGGTTCCAATGTCACATCTGCGCTGTACGAGCTCGACCCTAATGAACCCTACAACACTACTGGTAGGTTGAAATGGCGCTGTGAGACACATGACACTAACAAGCACACAAGTCATCCTCAACAACTACTTCGGTCGACAATTCAGCAGCTTGAACGATATCTCTGTGAACCCTCGCAACAAAGAGCTCTACTTCTCTGATGTCACGTACGGGTGGCTTTCAGGGTTCCGACCGGCTCCCATCATCGCCAATCAGGTCTATAGGTTCAACGTCGATACCGGCGCCGTCCAGGTGGTGGCAGATGGGATGAACATGCCCAATGGTATGGCACTCGTACTGTCTGTTGAATGCTCAAGCTGATTTCCCCAAAGGTGTTACGTTCGCTCCCGATGGCCAGTACGCGTATATCTCTGACACTGGTATCTCTGCTGGCAACTTCGGCACGAACTATACCTATCCTGCTACCATGTGAGTGTTGTCGCTACACGTCCGTCTATGGCTGACACCATGTAGCTACCGATACGACGTCCGAGATGATGGGAGCTTTGAGAACCGCAAGGTCTTTGCGTTTACTCATGTCGGAAATGCAGACGGTGAGTTGCCTTCCTTGTATGTTCTTCATGGCGCGGCTGATGATCCGACAGGTTTGAAGACCGACTCCAATGGTAGGCCACATCGGACCAAGACGAGGATACCACTAACTCGGTTGCAGGAAACGTTTATGCTGGAGTCGGCGATGGTATCCATGTTTTCAATCCTTCCGGTCTACTCATCGGAAAGATCTATCTGGGAGAAACTTCGGCCAACTTTGCCTTTGCTGGAGATGGGAAGATGGTCATTGGCGCCGAGACGCAGCTGTATTATGCCACCTTGGCGGCCAAGACTTGGAATCCAGAGGCGTGAGGCTGGCTCGAAGTCGAAGATTGTGTATATATATTAGACTATAGAGGGCAGCATAATTTCTGCTCATAGAATCATCCATATTAATATATACAAAAGTCAATACACTAATTCTAAAGGACAATGCATGAAGAGGCAAGCAGATCATCAGTCGGTCGCAGAAAGTTGAAGTGGCAACAGTAGTAGTCAGTAGTTGAGACTTTGAGACGGTGGTCAAGTGTATAGAGATGGAGTGAACGGCAAGTACCTTACTATGGCCATGATCCTTGACGGGTTCTGGCCAGCTGATGCCTATTATCGATGTACATACGCTCCTACTCGATTGCTGCATGGTGTCCACATTTGGCAGCGTCCTCGGCATCCTTATCCCCAGGCCTCGCTTATGCCCTTGAGACGTCCTGGTCGGGTCAGCCTGACTACCAGCCTGGGTCTCATGAGAAGCGAGGAGACATGCTTTGCAGATGGTTATGGGGTCAAGCCATACTCCCTCGTAAGATTTTCGGAAGACTGTTGGAGAATTACAAGATAGATAGATTAACGTGACTTGCGCGCGTGAAGAGGCCGGAACTAATAACTTGTGGTGGCAGCAGGAGTCTCTCGGAACACCATCATTTGTCGACCACGCCCCTCTCCATCTCCCCCATCTTCCCGTTGATACCCCTCGTCTCCCGCCCAACACCCATGTCGTATGGGTCATCCGGCGCTGGGCCATCCACCCCCTCCGCATCTCTCACTCGACGCCCACAAGGTGCTCGTCGTCGCGGCCTCCCCAGCCTCGTCATTGCCAACCCAGACAACTCAGATGAGGACGGCGATTCCCCTCCAAAAACGAATACCCAGCGGTCACCGTCTGGAGCAGGGGCTTCCCCCGTCAGCGTAGCCTCGAGCTCGGGCAGGGGAAATGTCCCCATCCCCCAGCCACCATCCCCGTCGCTAAGCGCCAAAGACCGGGGCAATCTTCCCTACCCTTCAATACCAGCTCCTCAATCATCACCACTACCTACGATATCGGCATTTCCCAGCCCCCAGCCGCTGATTCCTACCTTATTGCCCTCGCAATCGGCGTACGGGCCTCCAGATCTGTCTCCAGCCCCCCCGCAGCCTCCACCACAACCGCAGCGACATCTACAACGTGCTTTTACGACACCTATACCTGAGCCCGTACCCCGACCGCATGCTGAACATTCAGCTAGCGCCGGCGTCTACCCTCCGAGCTCACCATCTCGCGCCCTGCCCCCACTGCCTTCTCCTAGAGCTGCCAGTCGCCAAACCACACTCCCATCTCCACAGAGCCATCACCCACCATATTTTCAAGGACGGGTGTCGAGCCCTGACGACCTGATTAGCCCTGCGACTGGGAGTGAGGGTGGAGGAAGTATTATGAGTGTGAATATGGCTCATAGGAATCGGTCGGGGTCGGTGCAGGGGCAGCAGGTGCGTCTGCAAGTGACCACGGACAATGAGGCGTTTCATCTGGTGGATATCACGGGCATGAACACGGCAGAAGGGATACGCGAAAAAGTCTTCTCAAAGGCGAGTTGTGTGGTCCGTGTGAAAAGTAAAAGCTGATGCCCTGTAGCTACGGATACGTGACGATGACTACCCTACGCTGTCCATGTACAGGACAGAGATTGGCGAGGCAGCAGACGAGACGCCTATTCTGCCGGCTGCCCTTCTCAATCTCTGCAGTACCCTTGGTGATTCGAGAGCCAGCCTCAAGTTCCTCGTCAAGCAGACCGATGTTCCTCCGTCCACAGCTGCCTCCGTCATTCCACCTGTCGCCCCCCAGAATGATTACTCCTACAGCCGGCGATCAGGCATGACTCCTATCACTACAGATCTTCCCAATCCCCTCCTCGACCGTGTCACGAGCCGGCATTCGAAGGAGGGCAGTGCTAGCAGCGGAGAGCTACTAGACAGAGGTGGGCTGAGCGCGAGCGAGTGGAGTGATTTGGGGGCAGATGCGGACGAGTGGGGGATTTCGAGAAGTGCGAGAAAGCCGAGTGTCTCAAACGCTGGAGTGCGGCTCTCAAACTCCACAATGGGCTCAAAGTCGCCCATCACCGAACATTCCAACTCTGTGGGCACAAGCTCTCCAGCTATACCGACACCTCCTGTAGCGCTCCACGGCATCCCACTACAAACACGAGAACCATCTATACTGTCTTCATCCCCATCCAGCCGACCATCTAGCAATCACTATGATACGACATCCCCTATTGACCACTCCAAGTCTACTCCGATCCTGGTCCACTCTGGCCCTTCCAACGAAAACATCTATTCTGGCAACGCTTCGGCTGGTCCTAGCAACCGCTCGAGAATGGACCAGCAGGGTCTTGGTCTCAGCTTGGACGATGACATGGACCCCGAGACGAGAGCTCTGATTGAGCAGCTGCAGAGAGAAGAGCTGGATGCCCAACGGGAAGAGGATGAGCGGAAGAGAAAAGACGAAGAGCTGGCCATCAGGGAGCAGCAGAGCGAGAGAGAACTATGGGAGATGATGCAGCAGATGCAGAGGGAGAAGAGGCAAAGGGAGCAAGCTCAGATTGCCGATGACGAAGCTCGAGCTGTACGTCCGTCATATCTAAGAACAAGCAACGCTGATTCTTTTCCTCAGAGACGATTTGAAGCAGAGCAAAGACGAGAAGAAGAGGAGAGACAAGCCCAGGAAGCTGTACGGGCGGCCTGGGAGGCCGAACAAAGAGAACACCAAGAGAACCGATTCCACACATTTGAACAGGACCGGCGGCAACGGAAAAAGTTCTTTATGGACCAAGCAAGGAATGGGATGTCCATCGAGGACACGACACGTGATGCGACATGGACCGGCGCTGGTGCTTCCACTGACCCCATTTTGGGCGCAAGACGGCCATCAGATGGTAGGGCACCGCCGATTTCTACGCCCACGCCGCGCCCCTCCCAGACTCCAATGCCTGCGCGCCAGAACAGTCAACCTGTCTATTCCATACCTCCTTCTCCTTATCCCACTGAAGGCCTTTACCCTCCGCCTCGACGGCCTTCGGCATTCACATCCTCGCCTTATCCTGAACCGCCCTACGATCGGTTGAGTGACCCCCGATTACAACAATCCACCGGGCGGACCCCCGCTCCCGGGCAAAGGCCGCAGACTGCAACTCTTCCGCGCCCGGAATCTCAGCGATCTCGTCACCCCTTCAGCTACGTGCCTCATGAACAGAGCAACGATCATTTACAGACCCCTGCGTTACAAGCCGCTCGTTCAATGGACAATCTGCGGATCATGTCGGGTCCGCAGGGTTTAGCATCTTCCCGCCAGAATGCCGGATACAGTGGACCTCCCTCCCGAACATCCATTACGCCTGTCTCTGCAGTGTATGGGGAAAGGAGAAATCTCCAGCCAGCTGCCGCGGAGCCTGCGTATCGAAGCCCCACGTCGGAGCGCGCTGGCGACTCTCGATATCCAGGTACCGTACCAATCAGGTCTGGCTCGACGTTTCCTCTGTCGAACATTGACACGGGCTTGGTACCATTCCCGTCGCCGCATCCTAGCAGCACAAGTCCAAATACTGCTTCTTGGCAAGGGTCATCACATCCTTTCAGCAGCTCCGCTCCTCGATCTTCTCGTGGGTCCACATTTGATACCAGCAGTAGGCCCAACACAGTTCATTATGATCGGTCGCCTCCTCCTCCAACGTCACCCGAGACGACTATCCCTCCTCGTCGTCCATCTACGCTATATGATGAGGTTTATCCTGCCGATGGCACGCAGACAGCTGGTATGGATGGAAAATACCACCAGCGCCATGCTACGTCTTCTTTCCCTCTCGACCATCGATCCAGAAGCGGCAGTTTCTCGGCCTACAGAACGTCCTCGCCGAGCCCCACGGGAGGATACCGTCGCCCGAGCCAGACTGCATACGACAGCGACGAATCCCAGCTTCCTTATGCTCACGACCCGAGATCCGAGTCTTCGTGGCTTTCAGCTACCAAGAATGGTAAGGGGAGGAGTGATACCGATGCGTCGTCTGTGGCAGGTACTGTCAGCAGCGAGTCGACGGTGAGACCGTCTGAAGATAATGACTCTAGCGACACGGCCAAGGCAGGACAATGGGATAAGCATCTGCGAGATATGATGGCGAGGAACGTGGGAGACGGGGATCAAACCTTTATGCCAAGAAAAGATGACGAGGATGAGGCTACACTGTTCATCTCCGCCCCTCCCACTCAAACTTCCACTCCTGCCCCAACTCTAAGCAGGTCTGGTGCTGTCAGGCCATCCCTGTCAAAACCCAACCTCATCGTCGATACTGCCTCTCTTGAGGGGGCAACTGATCAGCGAATTTCTCGCGACCGAAACACTGGCACACCCTCTGACAGTGCCACCGAATCTGAAGGGACGGGTGACTTTGAGGGCTCGAGAATCAAGCGCGGCAAATCGTTTGCCCGTCCTAAGGATCCCAACCAATGGAGCTTCCGTCCCGAGCCAGAGCAGCTGTATGAGAACCTGGACACTGTCTTTCCTCAGATCGACCTGGATCGTCCTCTTGTGCAGGGCTCCGAGTCGCAACCGTCAACACCTGGTGCTGAATCTCCTAGCCGTGTGGAGATGGTGGGTGGAATGCTCTTACCAGTCGGCGCTGCTCCAGGGAGACAAGGCGGCCCTCAAGCCGGGACCGGGTCACGACAGTGGCAAGGCCAGCAAGGTCCGCCCAGTTCTAGCAGTGCTCACCCCTCTCCTGGTGGGTTCAACCAAAACAAATTCAACAAGGCAGACAAGCGCCGCTCTCTCCGTTACATTGCTCGAGACAAACATCTCGATCTTCAACGCCGTATCTCTCGACATGGCCCCCCTCCAGCTTACGACTTTGGCGAGGCTGAAGTCCCCGAGATACCTACTCGAGAGTACGCCGGAGTGGAAAAGACGGAAGAGCAGCTCAAGAAGGATAATAGGCGTAGCTCGAGCATGTGGGATCACAAACTCGTTGAAGTCACCCGGTTCGCGCAGGTCAAGGGCGACACCATCCTCGAATCTCCTGCGGACAGCCAGCCGGGAGTCGTGAGATGGGTCAAGGGTGAACTTATCGGCAAGGGTTCTTATGGTCGTGTCTACATTGCCTTGAATGCCACGACGGGCGACATGATGGCTGTCAAGCAGGTCGAGCTGCCAGCGACAGAGATTGATCGACATGACCAGAGGCAGCAAGGGATGGTCAAGGCGTTGAGAGACGAGATTGAGCTGTTGAAGGGTCTCGAGCATACAAACATTGTTGCATACTTGGGGTACGAGACCTCTCCAGAATACTTGTCTATGTAAGTGTAGCCATTCGAGTTGTTCCGTCAGTAGCTGATGATTTGTAGTTTCCTGGAATATGTTCCTGGTGGGACGATCGCCTCCATCTACCGTTCGCTCAACCAGGCTCGATTTGAGCCTCAGCTGGTCAGGTCTTTTACTGAGCAGATCTTGGAAGGTCTGGCATATCTTCACTCGAAGAACATCTGGCATAGAGTACGTGCTTTGACCGTTGTGATATATGTGCTGACAATCATTCTCAGGATCTGAAGGGAGACAACATTCTGGTTGACGGTCAAGGTATTTGCAAGATTTCAGACTTTGGTATCTCGAAGCAAACTTGTGAGTATTCACTGTTTTCGCAAGGACGATTTTGACATTGCGACTTAGCCGACGCCTATGACTCTTTCGGGCAAGCGACCAACATGAAAGGATCTGTCTTCTGGATGGCCCCCGAAGTGGTGCATGCCTACTCTGAGCGGTCATATTCTGGCAAAGTGGATATCTGGAGTCTGGGATGTGTTGTGCTGGAGATGTGGACTGGAAAGAGACCTTGGGGCGAGATGGAGCAGATTGCAGCGATGTTTGAAGTATGTCCAGCACGAACCAGAGAGAGAGCATGACTGACATCCCGTACAGCTGTTCAACAAACGCCGCCCGCCTCTTCCGGCGGACTGTATCATCTCCCCCGTGGCGCTCGACTTTCTCTATGAAAAGTGTCTTCAGACGGACCCCCGTGACCGGCCCATGGCGCGCGATTTGCTCGAACACGAGTTCATCAAGGATCGAGATCCCAACTGGACGTTTGAGGATAGCAAGATAGGAAAAGCCGTGGCGAAGCGGGGGGCGAAGCGGATGAAAGCGTGAGCGAGCTGCGGCCAGGGAGCTGGAAGGGAATAGGGGTGGTGTTTTATAAAGGGAGTGTATTTTATCATTGACGGATCTAACGACATCATTTTTGCGAATTGACGAGCTTCTTCACCTTTTCCGAGGGTATCTTTTCTAGACCTGGTGTTATTTGCCTCTTTCCAGGTAGTCGTCGATTCACAAATCGACAGTGTAATGATATGTCTTTGTTGTCTATCAAATTTTGCAGTCACTGCTTGCAAGGCCGACGGGCATGCACACGCGCGTCGCGTACATATGAGGGTCCAGACCTGTCCAGACCGAACATCCCTCTCGGCCCCATCGGCTGTCGACTTTCAGGTAATTGTCAAAGAGAAAGAGGGCCAAGGGGCCGGCAAGGGGGATATGCTTTCCTGGAATCGGACCATCCTACATACCTCTTAGGTAAAAGGTAATGAGGCCGAAGAAAAATCTTTCAAAGCCCGCTCTTCCGAAGACGATCGATGATTGACAGTCGGTGATTGACATTTGACAAGGGTCTTTATCTGCCAGTCGCCGAAGCCTGGCCCAGGCTGCTGTCAAGAAGTATCCGCAATAAATACCGTAAAATAGCCAAGAGCTCAGAGCTGTCCCTTATCTGCGTGGGTCGGCATCAGCGCGTGATTCCTCATCTGCGTACATGTGCAGACAGTCCATGAGCAACAGACGGGAGCTAATAGATGACGACTAATGGAGTGCGAGAATGGAGGCCAGACCTCCCGCAGGCCGGGCAGGGAAGACGTATGTTCGCGTAAAGATTGCGGAAGTAGGAAAGGGGACAGAAGGTCCAGAAGGCCGAAGGCAGGGAAGGGCTCGGTGCTACGGGCTTGCAGAAACGATAGAGAGCTGGAAGCTGACTGCTGAAGAAGATGTAGGAGAGAAATCCAGATTACGTATATGCCAACGATCTCGGAGCCAGAGATCAAAAAGAAGCCAGAGAAGAAGGCCGCGACTTCTTCTGAAGTCACTTGCACGACGTATGTACACTGTAGAGTACATAGGTATACTCGTACTCTGCGTGTCCCAAAAGGCAAGAGGCTCGATGAATTGCAGCTACGCGTAAGCACAGGAGGGAGATAGATCTTTTACAGAGTATTTTGAGACTCCTGCGGGAATTCGTCAGCGGGGTTACGGCGGGAGACCTTTGCTGCCTGCAGTACTCAGACTACGCTGTGAGACACCAGATAATCAGTTAAGAGAGTACAGATATAGAACTATGTACTACAGGACTGTACATAGCTACATACCCAGGATGATAAACAAGTAAGTAATTGGGCTCCCTTATGAGACGTGTGTTCATTAGAAAGTGGCTAAAATAATTGGATCTGGGGGTACTGTCAGGGCGAGCAGTGCCTTGGCATCGGGCACCGGGCTGTCGATTCAGGACCCTTAAGGCTGTTTCTGCGATTTCTGTTCTGGGGTGAATCCTAGCTCCGGATTGTACCTCTTTGGGAAATTCAAAATCCCCGCGGCGGCTGGCGGCGGGAGAGCGAGCGCGGAGACTTACGGCTCGACAGGAAACAGGGCAGCTCCCTCCTCCTCCTCAGCGCCCAGAGGGCCACAGGCCAGAGACTGCAGCATCAGCCGTCCATGCATCTCTTCTCTCTTCCTCTCCATCCTCTCTATCCCCCAGTACATTCCTCTTCTCTATTGTCCGCCCCGCCTCTCGCCCCGCCTCTCGCCCCCGACCCTCTTGACCGAGTATCCCAGCGACAGCCTCCGCCTCTCCCACCGCCATCAGCTCAGACCCGCCCTCATCCCTGTCCATCCACTGTGCCCCCCCCTGCTGCAATCCGCTGTCCGCTGCCCCGCGCTTGCTACGCACACTCCCCTCTCCTCGTTCTTTGACAGATCGGCTCTCGCCAGGCATTGATTGCCCCGCGCCCGCAAGTGATCAGTCAACGCTTGCGGCCTCACCCTTCCACGCGCAGTGCTCAAGGTTGCGACGTGTTTGAAACGCCTTCCTTTGGTTACGCACGGTGCCTCCCTCTTATCGTCCGCTGTATAAATCAACATGTCCTCCTCACCATCTTCTTCTTCTTCTCCCTACCGCGTCTCCCGCCTCCCTCCCCCGCCCTCCATCCCCCTCTCCGGCCCCTCTACCTCTCCCCAGCGTTTCCTCTACTTTGGCGTCAGACGGGGCACAGTGCCAGGCGTGTACACCAGCTGGAACGAGGCAACCACCCAGGTTGTCGTGAGTCGCTCCTCCCACCCATCACACATGTACTCACCATACCCACAGGACCACCCCGATCCCGCTCTCAAAACCTTTTCTTCCAAGCTTGCAGCTGAGGCATACGTTGCTGGCTGGGACGGCGCCGGGCGTCATTCATTACCTGTAAGTCTTATCGCCTGGCTGGCTTCACTCAACGCTGATCCATCCTCAAGTCTTCCACGCCTCGACCTCTGCGCGAACATCTTGCCATGTCTTTCCCTGGGTCAGTCAACGCGCAGTCGCCCGCATCACCTAGGCGACAATCTTACCATGCTCGACTCTTATCAACGCCGTCCGAGCTCGGACCGCTTCCGCTTGATACCTCAATCTCTACCCTGCGGCCGGGTTCCGTATCCAGATCCTCCTATCGCAATAGCATGGTTCGCATCTCGAGCCCATTGAGGCAGCAGGTGGACGATGAGGATGAGGTCAGCAGTCAAGAGTCTAGCTCGAGCGAGGGCAAAAGGACCACCATGATGAGAGCTGCCAGCTTTGTCGGCGTTGGCGGACTCCTCAGCCCGCCCCATTCGCCAGAGGGTGATGAAAAGATATTGGCAGGGTCCGTGATGGATAGGGAAAGGCCGACCACTCGACGAAACGCCAACGATTCCGGTCCCTGGTCGTCCAGGGGCCATCGGGATTTTTCGTCTGCGCCCCAATCTGCCCTGGGTCTCACCGGTGTTAGGTCGCCTCCGAACTCGCCCCAGAAACCAACTGCTTCGAGAAGGGCGAGCGCCAACACAACTTCTGGACTGTGGGCAGACTCTATCCCGCAGCCACCGACGCCCGTCAGAGCTGCCACTGTGCCCCAACCAGACTTTGTCGACTCGACCGCTCCCAAGTTTTCTCGCTCGGCGTTGAAGAAATCGGGTGTCGTCATGCCCGTATCTGCAAAGAGGTCTTCCTCGTCGCTATCCCTCCGTGGCAACATGTTCTCGTCTCCCAATGGGTCGTCTTCCTCCCTCGCGTCATCATCTTCCAATGGCTCAGATAAGACCGTCCGTCGACCCTCGCAACCTCGTACCCCGTCCTTCTCCCGTCTGTCGCACTCTTCCTCCCAAGACCGCCTGGAATCTCTCGCGGAGACTTCCATGCAGGAGCTCAACGGGGAGGGTCCTGGCGTCTCTCCATCCCTCGTACTGCCCCGCCCTGCCTTTATGCGCCGCGTCAGTTCAGCGTCGTCTATCAGCTCCAACGACTCTTTCACATCCATGGGCAGTATGACCAGCGGCTCATCGGCGCATACCTCGTCTCTCGACTCGTGTGAGCCCATCACGGAAGAGACAGAGCCGGATGTACACATCCGTCAGGCGCGCGAGGACGAGATGCAGGAGCAAGAGATGATGGGTATGTCTTGCACCAAATCCGACGGCGACGCGAGTGTGGATAGCGGGTCGATGAAGTATGTCAAGACGGGCAAGAAGAGTGGTGGCGGACTTTTCAAGAGGTTGTCCAAAGTGTTCAAGAAGAGCGACAAGGTTGACACCGGACGAAGAGAGAGCTTTTAGATATAGAGGACTTTTAACGGTTTTATTTTTGGACATTACCATTCGTCACCTGGACATTCAGTTCATTCCATACTTTCATCATTTTCATTCCATAAAGCCGACTTTGAGAGTCTCTGTGGACAGTTTCGTAACAACATCCCTTATCCTCATTTCGAACACGTTGTGACCTCTAGATTTTGTGTGTAACACTCTCATAAATGTATCTTTTATCACGCACTGGTGGCTCTGGTCTGGTAATGGGCAATGCTGCACATTGCTGTCGAGTGCCTGATAGTTTGGCGGCATTGGAGGTTGCCATTGACAAGCGCTACATTAGAGGTGCATGCAGATACCGACGATATGTATGCTCTTACTTCGGCCCAACTTCGTCGTGAGGGGCCTTCTTGTCATAGAAAGCTATCCAGATTTCGCCCTCACCGTCTCGAGCTGTCCACTTTGTCTCTGTGTGCGACCCGATAAACCATACCGTTCCCTGACCACCTTCGCCATCCGGTCCTTGTCCACCGTGCTTCACGCCTTCCTCTTCCTCGAGAGTATATTCCCCGTCGATGACGACCGCGATACCTGCACCGTCGAGCGCCTCCAGTACTTCATCTCCATCAATCTTCATGATTGAGAATTCTTCAAACGGCACCGAGTACACTGTCGTGTTGCCCTTCTTGCCCTTGGAAAAGGTCTGGGAGTCGAGGATCAAGTCTTCGATGGCTTTTGGCGTGCAGGTGACAATTTCTGCAACAAGCGAAGGATCGTCTTTGGCGTCATCCCCGGTGAAGCCAACGTTGATCACATTGTCAGAGATGGCCATGAGCTCCACAATCTCTGCAGAAAGTATCAGCAACCTTGTTAGACAGACTTCAGGCTTAAACATACCGCCTTCCATCCATGCGTGCGGCCCGTCTGCACCGACGTACATCCCTTGCCCTTTCTTCAATTCTACCAAATTCAAAAATAGGCTAATGATTGTATGAGCGTTGTTTTCTATCACCGAGACAATTTGAAACTTGCAGACTTGAGAAAAGACCCCCATCACCAGGATTGTACTTGTTTCCAAGTTCTACCGCTCGTACCAGTCTTTTCTTGTCGTCATCTTCGATGTTTACGCCACTGAAGGCGCTGGGGCCTTGGTCAAGCACCCGCTGGCTGAAGACTTTGATAGCCTCTTCGCTATCGCCTAGCTTCAAGAACTCTCCCCACGTCTTTTGAAGCGTCTTGCCGCTCGGTGATGAGATAAAGGCATCGACAGCAGATCGGAGGCTTGTTGAAAGCTGGGCGACCTCAGGAACGTTTCGCAGTAAAGAAACGATTTTGGCATAAGGCCGGAAAGAGGCGAAGCCCAAGAAACGGTCCGACAAGCAGACCGCGATTTCGGGTTTGTGATTGACACTTTGGAGTCCTGTAAGCTTCCAATATATCTCTGGAATACAAATCTACCCACTCTCCGAACTGCTCGGGATTATCTTTATGGAGTTTTTGCGCAAGATCCTTGTTCGGATGGATCTGGAGAGGTAACGCCTGCTTGCACGTCAAGACTTTGAACAAGAACGACACATGTCCTTCTTCCTGCCCCTCTGTCCCAGATCCTTTGGCTCCAGTGAATGGTGTTTCGAAATTCTTCACAGATCCCAAAAGTTCAGGGTGGTCGTTCAAATAGCTGGAAAGGAGCGTTTCGGGGGAAGAGTACAGGTGAGCGGGGTTGTTGGGATGGGTGCCCATCCAGAGCTCGGCGTAGGGCTGATCGGGCTTGACATTAAAGGACTTTGAGGCATTCTTTGTTAGTCGAGCGGCCAAGCTGTCATTGCCCACTTCGCCCCCTGCATGCTAGGTCAGAAGGGAGGCGAGCGATGATGACGACTCGTCGGCTTACAAGGGTAGTCGTTGGGAACACAGGTGAGTCGGTGAATTCTGGAAGACTGGCTGGAAGACATGGTGGGGTGGCTGGCTTGGGAAGATGAGAATGTGGCGTCTTTTATGTATCAAAAAGCTCGACTTTTGCGTCGTTCAACGTCATCCCCTAGTGACGCGCACCACCGACAATCGGTCATGACGACGTCGGATGACCGGGCGGCGGTCTTCACCGAGGATGTTAGGCACGCGTTCGACATCCCCCGCGCCTTTCGCCTCGGGGGTGAACGCGTTTTCGGAATGATTTCGAGCAGATTTCGACTGGATTTTGAGGACACCTTCTAGCATTCACCATTCTCCAGGCTCCTCTCGCTCATAGCAACAGACATGTCATTTGGACGACCAGGATTCACCGACGCTTTCAAGCCGAGCCCCCCTGCTCGAGGCTCCTTCCCTCTCGACCATGACGGTGAGCAAAACTCATTCAGGTGCTCGAGGGTGTTCGCGCTTACACGGCTTCAGGCGAATGCAAGAGTGCCATGATTGCATACATGAAGTGCATGAAGGAGAACGCCAATGACAATGGCAAGTGCCGCCTCCAATCGAAAAAGTATCTGGAATGTCGAATGGACAAGTGAGTGTTTCGTCCACTCGGTCTGGCACAGTGCTAATCAGAACCAGCGGCTTAATGCAGAGAGATAGCATGGAGAACCTCGGATTGGGTGATGTGAGAGATCCCGAGTCTCCTCCGCCCAATCCAACGCACGTCCCACAATCTCCTGTCCAGCCACCGCCCGCATCACAATCGCGGCAAGTTTGATGTCCATGCAATCTACCAAAACCACCAACCCCTTCTATGACCCTCCTGCTCCACACTCTTCCTTCTATCTTCGCCCTCCTTCCTCACCTGCTCCCACATCTCCTTCAACCTTCCCAGATCATCCAACAACTCTGGCCGATGCGTCTCTTCGCTCAAGTAGTAGTGGAATCTGTCGTATGGCAACTCCTCTTCGGGATCCTCATCTGTCTCGAGGCTTCTGAGACTGCTTACCAAGGCAGCAGATTGCGCCATTAGAGCGTCGACCTGCCGACGGCGGGCATTGGCCGACTCGACGAACTGTGTCGCTCCAGTGAAGAGTGCCTTTTCTAGCATCTTTGATTCACCGCATATCTTAGCATCTGTCCAGGCATGCAAGTACACAACTCACTTTGGCATCTTTGACCTTTTGCGACAATATGCGCTCTTTCAAACGAAGCTCGAGGACCACAGAGCACATCTCAACGTCGACTTGCAGATGCTGGCTATGATAGCGTCAGCTGATACTTTTCTCGGTCCGAGCCACGTACGCTGATAGCATCCGAACCCCTTCAAATTCTTCGAGATTGTCGAATGAGTGTCTAGGAGAGGCTTAGCGACAGACTTATGCCCAACAAGATCGTTACTTGCCTCCGCATAGTGCTGGCAAACAGGTCACCATCGCCTCTTTTCCCAGTGCCCCGAGGGTTCATCACCTCCCATTCCATCCCACTATCATCCAATACCACATCGGCGCCATCGCTGCTCGACCTCAACATGACTGTTGACCGGCCCTTGTTCCTCCAAGCCACAGCTCGGTCAGATACCTGAGAAGTACCAGCACCTGCAGCGTTGGCACCAGAAGAGCTAACAAAACTCGCACGTTTGTTGCCTCCGGCCTGGCCCCAGTCTAAATCAGACCGTTCTTCCCCTGGACTCCTTCCCTGATTGTAGTCCGCCCTAGACCACACATCAGACTCGTTACCCGAGGGAATGTTGATCGTGGGAGGACGAGCGCTCGGCGCACGACTGTTGGCTCTTGATGCTGTATTTAGAAATGAGGGAAAGGTGGGAAAGTTCACCCCTGGGGCGTTGAGATGGCGATGGGACTTGGAAGGGGATGGTGAAGTAGATTGGAGGTCAGGATGAGCGTCGTTGTCAACAACCCCTCTGCAATACGCGTTAGTGATCCGCGGATCCCAGGCTACGTACGTATGTCAACTCACGGCTCGATGAGCACCGGCACGACAGATTGCTTCTTCTTCAGCAGAGACGCCCGCAACGTACTCGGACCTGGCCCCGCGCCAGTCTCAGAATCTGACGTTTCATAAGCATGGCCTTTCCTGGACATGATGCCAAGTCCGTCTCTGAGAGCCTGACCTGCTCTCCCCGATAACTCTTTAAATGTTCCTCGCAAATCGCCTTCCTCCTCTCGAATAGTGTCGTCCCTGCTGGTCGTCCTCTTCCTCAAGACGTGCCTCTCTCTGCCCCCAGCAAGACCCATGCTCATGCTTCCCCGCCTTCGTTTTCGCCCCTCCACCGATGCCCCAAAGGTACCGTTCCATAGCTCCGCAAGGCGTCTAGCGCCCATGACATCCCAATCCTTCTCTCGGCTCCTCAGAACACCTTTCACGTAGGCTTCAAGATCGCTAGTGATGACGTCCGGCGGGGCCACCGAGCCTACATCGCCTTCGGGGACGATCATGAGCACGCCGGGATCCCAAAGGTCTTGCTCATCCATGCGATGGCGTAGATGGTGCTCCCGACGCCGGAGAGAAGGATCCTCCCCAACACCTTTGAGGTTTGCCGAGAGACTGCTGGCAGTATGGGCGACTTCTGACAACAATCGTTGTACGCGTAAAGAGTCCCCCGTATGACGTCTGTCCAGAAGATAATGCTGGAACAATGCGCGGACAGACGGAACAGTCAGAAAAGGTGAGGGAAGAGGCGACTTCATCATGGTCTGGAAACTCAGCCACGTTTTGAGCGTGCGGCGAATGCTCGTGAATGGATCCTTGGGGAGCTGTATGGATACATGAGCTTAGTGCGTGATCAAGTAACGTGGTCGTATGCGGTGCCTTACCCGTTCAACGTCAAGGACCTCGAGCTGGTAGTGGAGGCTTGTGATTGAGCTTAGGAGGGCGGTCAGGGTCTTTGGGTCGATGCAACCGCCTGAAGTCTCTTTCTGCATTTGGGTCAGCGTCCATCTTTGATGGATGCAGGCGACTCACCTCAATCTTCAAGCTCTCTTCGTGCTCCATGCCCATAGATCTTCGCCACCTGAATATAGCCCCCTTCGTCTCGTCACAGAAGAGTCCATCGATCTCCATACCTGGCCCTACCACCCGCCCATGCGCATCTTCTCCCACATCCTCAAACATACCCCACAACGCCAGGGCCGCCTGTATCACTTTGACCAGCTCGACAATGAGGTACATGAATGGATCAGAGCTGATCGCATCGTGCGCCGGTCCGTCGCCGTTAGGTATTGTAGGAGAGGCCAGTTGGCGATGGCGTTGTGGCGAGCCGGAGATGGACATGGATCGGGTTGGCGAGGAGGCAGTAGCTTGCGTTGGCTGGGGGGAGAGAGTGGGAATCCTGTAGAGATCATGAAACTTTCTTCGTAAAGCTGGTCTGATAGAACGTTAGTCACGTTCCCGAAGAGCTGGGTGCACGTACATGGGCGACTCGAGCCCCAAGATCGCGCGACCACCGCATCCTAGTCGACGTAGGCCTGTATTGACAATGATATAAGGCTTGGCTATCCGAAAGTCGCCACCTGGAACTGGGTTTCTGTGACCTGTTCAGATGGAGTTGTCTAGATCTGGAAATACTACTCACATGTCTTGACCGAATGCGGAAGGAGTCGTCACCAACAAAGTGCCCAGCTCAGTCTTGGTTGAAATCACAATGTCAGCACGGTGACTCCTTACTCGTGGACTTTAGCCTACTTTGCGTGGCTGGGAGCGAGTCTCAGCTGTTAAGACTTCTATAGCATTGGCAATCTCGCGAGCCCCTTCTTGCTCTGACAATTCTAAGGAGGGGACCAGAAGGTATGCGGTTATCTGCTCGAGGATGAGTATATGTTTCTACATCTTGGCTGAAACTCGCCTGCTCGCTTGGTTTTCCAGTCTGGGTGACAATGGTATGCGAGAAATGCGATCTCGACAGAAACCTGAAAGAAAGTGAGAAGTGATAATTGGAGTTCCAACTGACGACTGACCAGTTTCTCAGACTATACAGCGCATATCCCTTCAATACCACCTCTCTTTCTACCCTAAGTCTTCCGAGATTGGGGAGCCACTTTGTTTCCAGCTCATCTATTTCTCGATCTGTCGGTACAAGTAGGCTATTTGCCTGTGGCTGCTGCTGCCGAGTCTCGGCTGGGGAGATGGGCGAGAAGGGCGATGGGGAAGGGTAGGGAGTGACGGTGGAGAGGTTGTGGGATGCTTGGGAGAGAGCTGGTGGCGAGAGGGCGTGTGACATATCTTAGTTGATCATGGCGCAGAGTCCGACGATGGATAGAAACAAGAGAAATGCAGAAGGCAGAACCACATCGCGGCACAACGGTGGATGGGCGCGGTGGAGGCTCCTACGTATCAATCTCCATCTGCCCATCTGATCTACAAGACTACAACCATCCATCACAATGCCGTCCAAGATCAGAGTCGGCTGGCATCGCGAGCACTTCCTGTCCCCTCTCCTCCAGCTTGTGGAGAAGGACAACGGAGAGACCATCGAGCTTGTAGAATGCCCAGGTGGTACAGGAGAGATGCAGGTCAAGCTCAAGGAGGGTGAGATCGACTTGTGCATTGGTGAGCACCTATCAACTCTAGTCTATGTGCATGGTCTGATAGAATCGGCGTAGCTTTGACCGATGCTCTTATCGCCGGTCTGGCGAACGGTCAAACTTCGTACAAGCTTGTCGGGCGATATATCGCCAGTCCTCTTCGATGGGCCATCATCACAGGCAAAGACAGCAAGTACAACTCTATCGATCAGCTCAAGGGTACTGCTTTTGGTATCTCGAGGCTTGGAAGGTGGGTGTGACGGTACGGCAATCAGTGTCAAGGCTGACTATCATTCCAGTGGTTCTCAAGTATGAGTGACTTTACCATGAACAAGTTCTATAAGCTGATGCGCAGGAATAGGTGATGGCTTCCGTATTATCTCTCCAAGAAGGTTGGACCGAGGAGGATCAACCCAAGTTTAAAGGTCCGTCTCGCCTTATCGCTGTGATCACCGCTTACCTCCGACTACAGTCAATGGCCAGTTCAAGCCTCTCCGCGACTCTGTTAATTCAGAAGAAAGTGCGTACACTCCCATCTAGTCCATCCTTCAGCACTGATCGAACTATGAAGCCTCTGTTTTCCTTTGGGAGTGGTTCACGACGAAACCCTACGTGGACTCTGGAGAAGTTCGCTTCATCGGTTCTGTCTACAGTAAGAAGCTTATCTAAACAGTGTCGTAGATGCTGACTTGCTCTGCAGCACCTTGGCCTTGCTGGCACATTGCTGCCTCTCCTGCCGCCGACTCGGCAGCCATCAAGACCTTCCTCACCTCGCTGCAACCCTACGTTCAACATTTCAACTCGCCCGCCGCCCGCGAAAGCGGAGACGTCGACTTTGTGCACAACTTTTTCGGACAGAAGAAGGAGGATGTCGTAGAGTGGCTGAAGAGTGTGAGATGGGAGGATCAGCTGTTGGAGGTGAAGGAAGATGTCGTCAGAGAGACGTTGAGGGTGCTGGGCAAAGCAGGCGTCGTAAAGCCTGAAGCCGAGAAACTGGATATTGAAACGTTCGTCAACACTGATGTGGCAACAATCATCTAGAATACATCTTGTCAACAAGAGAAATGTATCTATGGTACAACTTTGAGCTCGGTCCACGCTTTGCCATCCTGTGACTTCCATTGAGTACGGCGATTGGGAATTGGCTTTAGCTCCAAAAACTCTACACCAGTCGGTCGGAGGGCGATCAATGCAAAGTGATCGAGGGCAGTCTTGACCAGCTCCTTCTCCTTCTCGTCGTCCTGGTGATGGTCATGAGCGGCATGTCTCTCAATGAGTGAATACGGCATACCGACTGAGCCGGGATCGTCTCTGGCCACTTGCTAGAGTCTTCGGCGTCTTTCAATTCAGTCCCAGGAGCCGGCCTCCCAAACCCAGCCCTCAAGTGGCCACTGACGTTCTCCCAAAGCTCTTCCCGCTTCCCCTGCCACCACTCTGCCGCCGCTTCCTCTTTCCCCTCCAAACCCAGCTCTCTGAGAATATGGCCCGCATTGTCATCTTGTGCGAAAGAAGAGGGGATTGTATACGCCTGTCCAGTGATGCGGAACTGGACATTAGTCTCTGGCAGCCACCAGGCGATTTCAAACTTGGGAGAGTGGTGGAGCTGGGCTGGTTTGGACATGCGGGTGTCTGTGGTAGTGAGCAGAATGCTCGAGGGAGTGACTGCAAGGTACGTCAGCACAATTCTAGTGCGCAAAGGGAAAGCGCTTACTTCCTCGGTGAATCACATGTCTGACTTTGGGACTGCCATCCTGGGACAAGGTTGAGAAGGCGTACGCTGTAGACGACAGTCAGTCTATAGTCCCGGTCAAGCGAGCCACTCACCGAGAGCCTTTGGATTCTCTTTGAGCTGCTGCTCCAGGATACCCACCCACACTGGTTTAGTAGTCGACATAATGTCTGCGTGAAGAACAAGAGATAGAGATGATCGTCACTCATTGATCGAGATCGTAGTCACCCCCGGCCGCCGATTCCCCCGAGAAGTAGTTACGTCAGCGGTTGGCCTCCACTTTCGAGCCACCACCGCCGATAACCATTTGTTGGTCTCCGACAACTATCAGAAACAGCAATCGTCTTCTCATCAACCCCCGCTGGAATATTGCAGCCATGGTAAGCTCCCCAATTCCCACCCGCCACAAGCTGAAGAGAAGCTAAAAACCCACAGTCCTCCCGTCCACGAAGAGCCGCTGCATCCTCCTCCCGCTACCCAGCCGACTCGGGACCAGCCATCGAACCTGAAGGCGACCCAGAATACCTCGCGCTTAGTGCCAAACAGCGCCGACTGATCGACAAGACCTTCAACAAGGGTATCCGATCTACGGGTGCCAAGTCACAGAAAAGAAAGCGGAGAAAGGTCGCGGATGGCCAAGGCGTCTCTGTTGGTGGCGCAGAAGAAGATGTTGGGGGCGACCAGGGAGGTGGGGGATTCTTTCCAGAGGACGATGCTGGAGGATTCATACCGGACGACGATGCGGGGGGTTTCCTACCGGATGACAATGCTGGCGGCTTCTTACCGGACGATGGGGCCGGAGGTTTCATGCCTGATGACGATGGCGGTGGAGGCTTCTTTGATGAGGATCTCCCCGACCGAGGCCCCTCGTCAATACCAGTATCGCAAGGGCCTTCTTCTCCCTCGGTGTCTGCTGCCAGAGTCCCTATATATCTTCTCCCATCCCTCCTAACGTCGCTCGGCTTGCCTTCGGATGACGACGTTCTACAAGTCTTTAGAGCCTCCGCCTCTGGTTGGAACGACCCCAGGAATAGCCGGCGAGATCAGGAAGACGATGGTCTGGAGACTGGCGGTGTAGAATTGAAAGACTTTAGAGCTGTATGTGCGGCGTTGATGGGGCCTGAAGAAGAAGCGGGTGAGAGTCGGGATGTCGAGATGGACAGCGATGATTCGGACGAGGGACAAGATACCTTCCAGCCCTCCGAGGCCGAATCCGACTTTTCTTCGGCTTCGTCGTTTGGGTCTGCATTTGGCGGCACAACAACGGCCACAACGCAAAAGGGAAAGGGGCCTGCAAAACCCAAGAGAAGGGGCAAGATGGAAGTGGCCAAGCTGTCTTCAAACCAGAAAGCTATGGCGCGCACTATATGGGATATGCTCAAGCCGCCGGGGAAGCAGACCGGCCGAGGAGCAGACATATTGGGGCGAGATGAGGTCAAGGAATGGGTCAGGGTGCTGGGCGAGATGTGGAGTGACGAAGAGGTGAGTGCTCGTTTCGACTCCACAATCTGAGTCCTACTGACACAGTCTGTAGATCACTGACATGGTCTCATTGTTCTCTAGTCAGCATGAAGGTCGTGGCTTGACATTTGACGATTTTGGCAAGATCATGCTTCGCGCAGGTCTGGTGTGATGGCATGGAATCTATATCTGAACCATATGCATGTTGTATTCATGAGTACGGCTGATGCCGTGTGGCCAGACCTCATACTTGTTAATTCTACTAAACCTTTCCCCGTCCGTCCACGCCCCAGCATCTCCAAATCCTTTCCACCACTCGAAGCTTATCACCCCTACCCAAACTGGGGTTCTCCAACATCCTCAAGTCATCCATGAAAGCCTCCCTCTTGCCCCCTGCCATTCCCTTTGCCCAATCCCTCAAATTTGAGACGCCAACAATCAACAGGCCCTGGCCGAGAGGACCCATCTCACTCTGATGATGGGGGGCCGTGATCAACAGCCGCTCAATGTCCCGAAGAGAATTCCAATACTGCCGTCTGCGTCCCTTTCCTCGTTTTTCGCCCTTCCAGATGCCTTGAAGCCATCCGCCGGCGGCGTAGAGGACGAGTAGAGAAGGGGCAAGACCGACAAAGGCGAATGTGAGCTGCTGGGAGCGGAGCAGGTGGTCTAGTGAGAGAAGCGAGAGGGAGAGGTCGGTCTGGAAGCCGGGCGTCAGTAATGAATCGAAAGTAAGCGGCGGGGCTTACCTTTGTCTTTTGGACTTGGATCAGCAGGGTCCTGATAAGGCTGCCCATAAGAGCGTTCTTGACGGGGCTCTAAAGATATGGTCAACATCCGCTCTCTTCTACCATTTGCGCTGCTTACTTGAAGCTCCTTCTCGTAGACGCGCAAGACCTCTTCCATGTTGCCAGTCTTTACTTTTTCGCCCAAAGCCTCGAGAGCAGGGCCGGACAAGTGATAGTAGTCTTTACCGAGATCCAGAACCATTCTCTCCAGCGACTGCAAAAGTGTCAACAAATGTATCGTACTTTGGTTGAGCAACTCACCTCTTGATCAGATTTGACAGTGGTGGGAGCAACGCCTAGGCCCTCTCCACCGCCCCTCAAAGTCTTTCCAATTCCTTCCAATGGCTCCCAGACCCACTGGACAAAGAAGCCCTTTACAGTCTCTTTCCCATTATTCACCTGCTCCTTCATCCATTCTTTGTTTCTCGCAATGCTGGTGACAACAATGTAGAGCGTGGGGGGCAGGAAGAGAAGCGGGAACCATAGTCTTGTAAGGGAGCCAGGCCTACCATTTTTGGTGACAGTGCGCTCAAGCACAGCTTTTGATGATGGGAGGTGGGTCTTGAGAAGAGCCAGAAGAGTAGTTGGGGTGGCTATGGACTGCGGGGGTGTCGCTGATCGCGATTTGCGGGGCTTGGGTAAGGGGACGTCGAGGATTGAGCACAGAGCTGTGTAAATCCGCTGCGTCTCTGACCCGACATCGCCGAATGCCTGGACGCCTTCTTGGTCTTGCCCCCATCTCGGGCCTTGCGATGCAAGTACGCCAATCTTGTGGGCAGCGCGGTCTCGCGCGTGAGTGAGCTCGGTGCGCGAGGAGAGAATTTCTCGCCTGGTCAAGGTCCAGGGCGAAGTAATGGAGGTGAGGGCGGCAGAGGTGGTTGACTGCAGGGGTTTGAAGAGAAGGTCTTTGGAAGGAAATCGAATGTCTCTGATCGCTGAGAGAGTGAATTGGGATCTCGGAGGGATGGCGCTCCAAAGTCGATGGGGCATAGCTATCAAGAATTAGAGGTTGACGTCGTCGCGACGGAGATGGGCTCACTCTGGATCAGATAGTAGCTGACCCCTCTCCGGCTGTTGAGAACCGAATCCCACCATGCCCGCTCATTCTCTAGCTTCAGTGCGCCCTGGACAAACTCGTCTAGAATTTCCTTCCAGAGGACAGTGACAGCTCTTCCTACGACCTCTTTCTCGAAAAGCTCATCGAGCTCACTTGTCTGCTCCTGGGAGCCGACTTGCTGCTCCCTGGACTCGACAAGTCCCTCCAAGACCTGGACAAGCTTCTGACGTGTGAGCTGCTTCGGATCTGAGAGGTCTGAAAGGGCTGCCTGGATGTGGTGCGAGGGCTGTGCTGAGGCGGAGAGGCGCTGGGCGGTGGGGGGGAGATGGACGGGGAGGGTGGCGATGTTTGCAAGCTGGGCTGTGAGCTGCTCTTCGGCGTAGGATGGCCCGTGGGCTGTGAGGAGACCCATGGTGCTGCAGAGGAAAAGAGTCAACGAACACTTTTCGATTTTCATAGCGGCCCTCCGACGCGAAAGACCCCTGACGTCACCCCCTCTTACGTAAACCCAGTGGCACAGCTCATGTTGTCGTCTTATTGTCGTCTGATTGCATCCATCCTGCATCTGCATCTCCACAATCCACCATGCAGGCCATCAAGCTCGGAAAGAAGTACCCAGACCTCAAGCAGGACGAGATATTCGACCTCATCAACAAGTTCAAGTGCGTCTGCCTGCCCCAACTGCGTATCGCCAACTGACTCCCCTCAGGCAGATTGACGTGGACGACAAGGGGAGCTTGGACAAGGCGACTGTCATTGCAGCGCTTCAATCTTCTGGTGAAGCCGACTACGACTCTGTAAGTGCTACCGCCCTCCTCTGCTCCCGGGGCACAATGGTGATATGGAGCACGAAGGCTGACCAGGATGATACCACAGGCCCGAGAGACCCTCAAGAACGTCAATGTTGATTCTTCAGGCAAGGTCGAGCTCGAGGATTGGGTCCAGCTGCACTCTCTGCTGAAAGCTGCCAAGACTAACCCTGTGTGCGTATACATTTCCTGTTGCTAGATAAGTGACTGACTTGGGTAGGCTTGAACACAACAAGGGCCGAATCTCTGTCAAGGGCACTGCCGGTACCAATGCCCAGCACTCTATGAATGAAGATGAGAGGGCATCATTCACCGACCATATCAACACTGTACGCAACGAGTAGAAAACCAAAGACGTACGCTAACACGATCGCAATCAGTCGCTCGCCGCAGACCGAGACATTGGTCACCTTCTCCCCATCCCCACCAACACGATGCAGCTCTTTGACGAAGTGCGAGGTGTGTATTTATTCGCACTGGAGATGACCACGCTAATTCTTCTACAGACGGTCTCATTCTCTGTAAACTCATCAACGACTCTGTCCCCGAAACCATCGATGAGCGAGTCCTCAACAAGCCCGCTGTCAAGGCTGGCAAGGCCCGTCCTCTCAACGCTTTCCAGATGACGGAAAACAACAACATTGTGATTACCTCTGCCAAGGGTATCGGATGTTCAGTCGTCAACATTGGTCCTCAAGATTTGATTGAAGGAAGAGAGCATTTGATCTTGGGTTTGATCTGGCAGGTCATTAGGAGGGGTCTTTTGAGCAAGATTGATATCAAGATCCACCCCGAGCTCTATAGATTGCTGGAAGACGATGAGACCCTGGAGGAGTTTTTGAGGTTGCCCCCTGATCAGATCTTGCTGAGATGGTTCAACTACCACCTCAAGGCCGCTGGATGGCACAGACGGTGAGTCGTGATACATTTCCATCAGAAGAGTAGCTGAAGTGTGATCAGGGTTGAGAACTTTTCTCGTGACGTTTCTGACGCCGAAAACTACACTGTCCTTCTCAACCAGCTCAAGCCCGACGAATGTTCTCGAGCCCCTCTCCAGACCTCT